TATGTTCCACTTCTCGATTTACACCCTGTACAATGTCCGTTTAAACTTCCGATTAGTTTAACTGACAACTTTCAGAAACACGATTGGTCAACTTGTGAAATAATTAGCCAATCAAATCCTTTAACCCACAATTTAACTATAAATTGATATTTAAACTGACGTACAACTGGGCCTAAGGTTGTCCATAGAAAAAGCTGACGACAGAATTTTACCGCGGGAAGCTCAATTCGCAGTGTAATGAATGAAACATTATATGACCTCTTTTTATCATGTAAAATAAAACAAATTTTGCGTCCATGGGGCGCCAAATGTGATTTCAAACAGAGACGTGACAAGCTGTGACGCAGATTTGCCAATAAACCTCGCTGAACTCCAACCGACAAAATAAATACTTGAACGTGACACAATGAATATTTGTTTGGCGGAATATGAATGAAACCTTCACCGTCTTTAAACTTTAAAAACTCATCCTTTCGCATATTTCAATGAAAAGATCGCAAAATGTACGCAAAATAATCGCTCTGATGGTTACAAGATGGAGATGGAGCGCTCTCTCTTCTACATAAGTATCTCATATATTGTACAGTAGTACTAGTATGCATAAAGGCTTTACATAATTACATAGTAGACTCGTTAATAACGCATATCATACTTGGCTAAAGTATGGTTAAGTTATTCGCGTTTTATTGTAAATTGAAAGTCACTTAGATTTTCGCGAAATGTGAAGGGAATGTTATTTGGTAATGTATATCAACCAAACGAACTGAAAAGACGGGCATTTACGGTCGCAACTCGTTGAAGTTCAATAAGAGTGAAAGCTGAACAAATGGATACCTCGAGTTGGGTTATCGGGAACATGCACACAAGCTCAGTTAAAAAAACATCAAATGTTCAAGTGTCGTATAAAATGTATAAATAGCCTACAGTTTTCATAATCGTGCACACTTCTCAACTTTCTCGATTTCTTTTTAATGGAAAACTCGGAGGCGATATGACATTTACTTCAGTGAGCGTATTAAATTTCTATGTTTCGGTGAAAGCCACTTCATGTCTTTTGATTTTACAGCCGCGTAATAAGAATGGTAATAAAGTTTTAGGATTGTAATCACCCCCACGCGCGGTGTAAAGGAAGAAGCGAGAGCAAATTTCACAAAAAGCCTCCGAGGTGCTATTTAAGCGTTATATCACATGGTAAAAACCAATCGATGCGAACTTAATAAACATTTTTATTGCAGTCCTTTACACATACGTAATTGGAATTGTACTGACAAAAATGTTTACCACGAGGTAAGAAGTATAACCCGGTATCTAGGTCCAACCTTCGGTAATGATTTAATATACCTCCAGTACGAGGCAGTACACTTGTCAGTCATATACGATACCATAACGCCTAAAGTTAATTTTTAGACAGTTCCTTGTAAACAAGTACTGAAAATTTGTGATGACTTGTTTATAAGAGCATTGTTAAAAAATAAATTAAACACTGAAAAGTGTTACAATAGTTGTCCATTTCACTGTTAGATATCTATGGGGGTACTCTTTAAAAATTATTGGCATAATGGACTAGATTAAACTTTCTAAAACCTGAGAACTGGAACATGATAAAATGCCAGTTACTACGAAAAGTAATTTTGCATGCCACGTAAAATCATTTTGAAACAAGAATCGAGCAATTAAAAAGGGATACCGCTCTCCTGTCATTGAATTAAATTTTCCCGATATTAACGCGTGAAAGTGTAAAGGTTACCGCACATTTGTCCGTTCCATTCCGTAACGTCGACGCGACGGTTCGCGCTAACGCACACTTATGAGTCGTGGCGGAACGGGCTAATGTGCGCAGTGACGTTTAAATCAATGTCTTTTATGTTAAACGTTTTTTTAACCGTCCGTAACGTGACGGAACGGGCACGTGTGCGGCAACTTTTAGACGATATTTACGATACGATGATAATTCTCATACGCTATCACAATGTACATTCCCAAATTAGCTAGAGAAAACGAGCATAGTACTTTCACCACGGTCATATGTAGGGCTGATGAAAGGCACGTGGTTAACAAAATTATGGATTAAAAAATGTGTATGTACTGAAAGCGAAACGGATGGACATTACTGTAATAATTTCCAACAACGGTTTGAGAAAAAATTTGCTTTTATCTCCCGTAATTCATTTAACTCGCTTTATACTCTCAACAAAAAAATGTTCTATCATTCTTTCCAAATTATGTAGACGAACAAAAAGATTGGGAGTCGCGGGAATGCTTTAAAACTTCGGTGACGTCGAGCCTTAATAGATGCAAATACCGATATGATTCGTTATTATGGACTGTAGAAATAAAACAATTTATTACGCAAAATAAAGGTTTATTTCAAAATCGTAAAAGGAAAAATGACAAAACAGTCTAACCAAACTCTATAAAAATTAACATTAAAAATTAATTCTTAAGTAATAATAAACGTGCGTGTGTGTGCGCGCGCGCGTGTTTTATTTAACGTAGAATTTCTGGGAATTTTGTTTGGGTTTTATGTTATCAAATGTAAAAAAAAAATTTAATCGACAGGTAAATGTGATTTATCGCCCTTTTTGTGTAGTTAAGAGAGATGAAATTTTATTTTTTCTAGAATTTAAGTTTGGATTTATCTCTTAATGTCTGATAACAAATTGATTTAGAAAAATTATTCGACCTCTATTTTTTGATCTATTAACATACGTTGAGGGGATAGTCTTTGTTGTCAACTGTGTATGATTAGATTGTTGTTGTAATTTTTATTTTCGGAAGAAGGGTTTCGCCTTAAATAGGACGTTAACAGAAAAAGCGGGTACAAAATTTTGACCGTTCAGTTCATCCCTTCGGTTTGAAGTGTGCAAAGTGTTTTTGAGTGTTCAAAGTTATAATTTTCAACATGAGTTCCAAGAGTTAAAAAGCTATATGAATTGGCTATCAACAGTAGCGGTAAGTACATTGGAAAATTAACGAATTTTTTTGTGCTTGCATGACATTTTTTATTTAATTCTTGAAAATAAAAGATTTACTAGATACTAGTGTATTTTGGTAGGCTTTTTATCAAAATCTAAAACAGCATATTATCGTACTTGATTTGTTGCGTTAAAAATTTTTTTTTACATAAAATTCACACTGCGTTTTTTTTTTAATTCAAATCAGAGTCACCGTACACAACCGAAGCAGAAGATGAAGTTTCGCAAAAAGTAAAGAAAACGGATAAACAAAAGGGCCCGTTAAGAAAAACATCAATAATTAGACAAAGGTGGACCGACGAGCAAAAAGATCTAATTAAAAAACACTTTCATCATCACATTAAAAACAAGAAGGACGAAGTAAAAAAGTTTATCCAAAAACATAAAAACGTATTTTTAGGAAGGAATTGGGTGGTAGTGAAAGCATTTGTTTATAATGTCTATAGTAAAAAACAATAAATATTTGTTCCATTATATCCTTATTTAAATAATACGGTATCATTTAACTATTTGCAAAAGTTACCTTCCGAAATATGTAAAGGAATTATAGTTATTATTATTAAATCCCGAGTATACAAAAAAATCATTAAATATTACAACTAGACAGTTCCTAAAGTTTGATTAAAATCCCTTCAAAAATATTGACAGGATGGCGCGGTCTGTTAGTCGCATCGGCGAACAGACCTAAATTATAAATCAGGAGTATGTAGCTCAATAGTAACTAAAATATATTGACTATCCCTTATAAGTCCCAAACAGTGTGTGACGGTTTTTTCTGAAACCGTATAAAAAATTGCTATTTGGTTAAGAATTCAGTAGTTTTTTTGAGATTGTATTTCAGGCTTTAACGTTCTAATTTTCTTTGCGCTTAAATTTCACTCCTTGATTGCACCTTTCATTGCATTGTTCACATTTAAATTGTTATCACTGTTGATCTACAGGGTGATTCCTATAGTACCTGCCACCGTTTGGGAGCGTATAGGGGGTGCCTAGGGGAGTATTTTGATATAGGACACTTGGGGCCGGAAATCTAAAATAAGGGCGCCAGAACCAAATTTATCTTCTGGAATTTCACGCCTGTATGTAGGCAACCCAACCGACCGACGTTTCGCGCGGAGCGATGCAGAGCGAGTTAGCGCGAGGAAGCGACATGGGAGGGAAGGAGGGAAAACGACAGTCAAAAGCAATAACGTTTACAAGTGTTCAACGTGGCCACCGTTGTTCTCAATGCACTTCCTACATCTAGCCAACTATTATTATACTATTGCCATAGTGTTTATTCACTTGATACGCGTCGTTGCAGACGGGATTTCGTGGGTTTAAACAAAATTCTGATCAAGTGTCAGCCACACATCGCCGCCTGAGATCGCTCCGTGTGCACCGCCGGCCGGTTGGGTTGCCTACCTACAGGCGCGAAATTCCAGAAGGTAAATTTGGCTCTGGCACCCTTATTTTAGATTTCCGACCCCAAGTGTCCTATATCAAAATACTCCCCTACGCACCACCTACACGCTCCCAAACGGTGGCAGGTACTATAGGAATCACCCTGTATGTACGTTTTCTCCTTGCCCTGCAATTCAAAGTTGGGAATTTTTAAAGTTTAAATATTTGGTCACCTGAGATTGATTAGGGGAATCCCCGCTTTTACACATTCCCCAGGAAAAGTGAAAGTCTTCTTCCTGTTGCAACTTTTTGTGGTTAGCTGAATTCTTAATTAAAATTTATCCAACTCATAATTTGAGGATTATTTAAGAATAAAGGCTCCTATATACGCTGGAATTATTAGTTGGTAATTGGTTCTGCTATTTTGGACCAGCGTTAATTTTCGGACTTGGGCGGATTATTCGACCACATGGATTCTACACTTCGGCTCGTTCAAGATCTGTAGAGGTAAACCAGTTCATTATATTCTTGCTCGATCTTAGGAATTAATCTTTGCAGCCTTTTCGACATTTTTACTTTTCTACGTTGTACCTATTGGATTTGGAATTATAAAATACAACTTGGATTGTGTATCGATCTCACCGAAGCTCTTTGTGTCTCGTCGTGTTCGTCATCTTGATTTTCAGGGGCATTCCAACGTCCATCCAGGCCGAGTTATTGATTAAGTCGACAGTTCCATATTTGGGCCAATATCACCTGAGGACCAGCATTACTTCCACCGGCTGCTGAAAAACCAAGGTTAGACCTTTCCTGTTACCTGAAGTTTATTCACCCATCCTAGTCCTTCCCATAATCCTCCATCTTGTCTTACCCACTTAGTCCTCTTCCTTTAAGCATTCATACGTTGTTTTTCATTCATATCATTCATCAATTATTAGTTTGGTATTAATAAAGAAAAAGCCATGGGGCACATATAATTTAATTTGTTTTGCGATTTGACAGTAGTCAGTATTTTAACTTCTTAGTTCAAATCAATTTGTGGGGGTGTATTGCAACTACCTTATTTAAGACGATATTTGTGAGACAAAAACAAGACCTATGCTTTCACCTTAATTACGATATTGTGTCTTACCTGGCAAGGTCCAAGTAAGGAAGATCTTCCAACGGCAGCCTGCTTAAACCTCCCCTTTATTTCCAGAGTTCATTAATCCGCTGGTTTATATGCAAAGCCAGTGTACTTTTGATCTTGTTGCCAGGGGCGGATCTAAGTAAGAGTGGGCCTCGGTGCAAGAAGTGCTTGTGGACCTCAATGACTTCAAAACTAATATTTAAAATATGACTTGCCCCTGCAGGCCTGCACGAATGGTTTGGATTATTTAATTTATTTTCAAACTATTAATAAGAATAACAAGCAGAAAATATAAAATAAGTATCAGCTACATTCTAAATAAAACAAAGAAATTCTTAATAAACTAGTAGTACCTGTACACTATAGACTATACAGTATACTTATTAGTTATTATAGCTTATAGCGCCCTTTTTCGAACTTTGGCATTTGCAAAACGATCTATTAAATTAGAGATGTCTAAGTTTGATGCCATTTTATTTTCTATAGACAAAATTGATGTCACGCAATCGCTGCTGACTTATTGTAGATCGCATATAGTCTTTTATCATTTTAAGCTTGCTAAAAGATCGTTCCAAAGAAGCAACTGTTACAGGAAGGGTAAAAAATAAAAGAAAAACCGTATAAACCTCGCAAAATTCTGCTTCCATAAACGCATAATTTTTAATAATAAATTCAAAGAGTTGTCTTATGGGCATATCTTCTTTAAGATCATGTTTCATTAAATCTAAAATCATGTGAAACTGATTTACAAAACGATGAGATAAAACTTTCGGATATTTTTCGCATAATTCTTCACATCTGTGTAATATTTCTTTTGTTGAGCTTACATTTAAATAACGCGGTTCTAAAAATTCAAAAGTTTGTTTCACGGCGAGCATAGCAGAAAATCGTCTAGTAATCTGATTGCGAATTATGTCAATAACAAAATAATAAACACTAATCTTAAAAAATTCTTCTCTGTTTTCGAAACGATGATCAAAAGCAAGTTCGTCAAAGTGTTTTTTTACTTTTCTTTGCCTTTTTGTTGCCTGAAATGCCGGTTCAATACTCAATTTGGTGGCCAGATCTATGGCTTCAGATTTTATATTGTCATAAGATTTTGGGTCTCTAAGAGTAGATATATGTTCACATGCCCGGTCTAAAACTGTCGTTACTTGATTCAAATCAATGTCAACTTTTTGTAAAGTTTTTGATGCTAAATTAATATGATTCCAAGTTCTAAACATAAAAATCGTAACAAATTCAAAAGTAGGTATTCATTCTTTTTTTTAAAGAAGAAGCATCCGCAATTTCATCTTTTTTCGATGATTTTAATTCAATCTCAGTAGGAGCTTTTAAAATATCAGATAATCGTAATTTAACTCTTCAAGTTTAAGAGGCATTTCCCTGATAAACTTGTGGCGCCCTAAATCAGCGGTTGTAGCAGCCCTCGACCATCGTCCACCAGCAGCAGGAACATTCTTTTGACGTTTTATTTTGTACTTTGACTTCTGTTTTTGAGATTTTTTTTGTTTCAAGGATTTTCCTGAAGACAATTTTCTTTTAACGCTACACGGGTAAATACCAGTGGTGCGAAAACCATTAGCCGCTATTGTGTATGTCTGAACTTTTGCGTAAGCTCTACCAAATAACTCCATTATATCAAAAGGACTAAGAGCCCGTTGGTTTTGACGGATCCAAATGCGAATTTCTTCACTATAATAGACTTTTAATGGCCCCATAAATGATTTATCCAAACGCTGGAGCTTGTGCGTCGAGTGAGGAGGCAGACACAAAATGTTAACAAGGTTTTCGCTTGCTGGGTCGATATTGCGAGTGTGGCTGTAATGGCCGTCAAGCAGGGGCGCCGGAACAAAATCTGCTAAGGGGGGGCCCTTAAATTTTTCAAGTCCTTACTTGAAAAATATTGCCTAAGCATTTTTAAATTCGTAAATCACTAGGGTTAGGGTATGCAGCTAACTCCTATATCCAATAAAAACCATTGGTGAAATAGTGTAATACATATTAGACATTATTATTATAATATTATCCATGGTTGGGTTGCCGCCTTAACTTAAAATGACATGAACATTACTAAGAAGCAGCTTTTAAAACTTAAACTTAACATAAATGTAGTACATTTAACACTTCTTTGATCACTGATGAACACTATTTTTTTTAACAAGAAACCAGTCAGGGCTGAACAAAATTACTAATGTTAATAAAATGGTATGAATAAGTAGGTATAAGTATAAAGTAACTAGCAAAACAGTAAACAATTTACTGTGTATCAAATAGAAATCTTAGATTTCTTTTCTCTGAGCCAAAGATATCTATCACTTTCTCAATAATTGTCTTTATTTTCTTCTACATATTTTCTGTGTACGCTTATAAGGCACAAACCAGTGAGGCGGCCTTCCCCCATGGTTGATCTAAGCCACGTTTTGACTCTTCTAAGAGTACTGAAAGAACGCTCAATTGAGCAAGTGGTAGGGGGCATAATAACAAAACAATAGTATATTGAAAGACAAGTGTTACAATGCGACCTATTTGCCCGCTTTCCACGCCCTTTACGAAACCCTTGCGCTATTTCTGAGGTGACGGACTTTGAATAATTAATTGTTCCGATAAATGAGCTATTTCTAAAAAACAAAATCAAAACAAGACTATAAGATTTATTACAATCTTGACTATAAGATTTATTAAAATGTACATGATCGGCACCGTCGATATATTTCGCCACATGTACGTCTTCCTCTAAAGCAGGTATCTTCTTTGGAATGAGTGGAAGAATACGACTATCTTGTGGCGCGAGTGGCGACGCGAAGCTGAAAGATCGTTTTCTAAGCTGAAGTTGATAAAAAGTTATTCACGGAACAGTATATCACAAGATCGCTTAAGGTATCTGTCACTTATATTGATAGGACATTCTAGTGCGGCAATGTTAGATTTACAGTCACTTATACTGCTATACATGAATTTACTACAATGAAACAGCGGAGAACCGCATTAGAATAATTAGACGTTTAATTGCCGTTTGTTTAAATATACAAATACAAAACAAAAAGTCAATAATTTATTTTTCCTTATTGGCACCTCTCCTTCCTCTTAACTGTGGTTAAATTAAACGTAAGGAAAGGGGCCCCCAAGATTTTTTGAAGACGGGCCCCTAAAATTAAGTTACGCCACTGAACCACGTAATGCCGCCGTTAGCGCCGCCATATTGAAAAGATGGCGCCTAAAATCAGTTTTTTTACGATATCTTCCAGTACCTCGTAGTTGAAAAACAGTGATTACAAAAATTTTAGAGGAGAAAATTCTCTACAACACAATAAGTTTTTCTGTGCGACCAATGATGTAGAAGTCACATTGGTATAAGTTATAGCATATTATTCAATATCCATGATACAAATTGCTTGCGGTTTTTCACATATTCAGATGATATTATTACTTATATTCATTGCTGAAAAGATTAGAGATATTCCATAATAATATTTATATCCAAAAATTGTTGCATTCCATCCCCTTCGATGGGTATTCAGCTGATGCTTCTCCGATCAAAAAAATTGACGAACGTAATGTTTGACGAATTGATGATAAATACCCACAATCCAAATTCCTAGCCAACGAACACAAGAGTCGTCTTATATCTTTATTGAAATTCAAATTTAAGGAATCAAACTTTACTGTCCATCAGGCCACAGAAGACGCTGACACCTTAATTGTTGGGACATCAATATTCACAGCATCATGCTGAAACTCTGTGTTTATCGTTGGAGAAGACATTGACCTACTGGTACTTTTAGTTGCACTAGGAAATCATCGCCCAAATGTTTATTTCTTAAAACGGGACAAGGAAAAAACTGCAGAAAAGATTTACTCTGCAAGAAGTATATGCGAACCAAGAATTGCGGACAAAATATTGTTTTTACACGCCTTCAGTGGATGGGACACAACGTCTGCCGTTTTCAACCAAGGCAAGAACAAATTCCTCAAGATGATGTTTAACCTTTCGGAAGTCTGGTAATTCGAACGGACTATATTAATCAATAGGTTTTGAGGCACCAAAATTTGAATAAAGCAATGAAATGTCTCAAATGTCTTCCAAACCTCACACGATATCGGATATGAATAGAATAAAGTTAATAGGATAGAGATAGAAGTGTAAAAAACAAAGAACATTCACTGCACCAAAAATTCGCGTGTTTGCTGGCACTTGACGCAAAAGTATTGTGATTTTCTATCGGAATTACGTGGACAAAATTCACAGCGTCTTCTTTTTCTATTTTCCTTTGAATTAGATGCCGGAATAGTAGGATTCTGTGTGCGTAATTGCTTAGGAAGCCCTTGGTTCTGTTGTCGACGATCTCGATGTTCTCTAATCAGTTGTTTTCCCATGTTTTTCAAAAAATCTCTCCTGGTTGTATGTCAATCGTTCGTATTATTTCGATATATAATTTCGCTGTTTACTCCAGCAGTATATAGAGAATTGAATAAAATATTGTCAATGGCCATCGGCGAGAATTTCTTGAAATATCATAAGAGCTTGAAAGCTTGTCTAATGTGTCAACGCCTCCTTTGGTCATGTTGTAAAACGTGACTATCTCAGGCTTTTGTTTGTCTCCCGTTGATTGATCAACACTGTCATCATGATGAACCATTATAAGAGCACGTTCTTTTGCTTTTTCTCAATGTATGATACCATCGTAATTTTATTTTGAAAAGCAAATATACTGGACGGTAAAAGTCTTCCTGCTGTAGCCACTAGACATTGCGGCAACTCTCTTTTATTTTTGCGTACAGTTCCGACAGATGTTATTCGGTGTTCGGTGAGCAACTTATGCATCAGACTGTAGCTGGTGAACCAGTTATCAAATGTCACATTACGACCGTTCTTTGTTATTGCTTCTATTAATCGAAGTACTAAATCTTCGGGTTTATTACTTTTTCTGAAGGGTCCCTCAGGTTGCAAACATACGTATACTTCCAAATTGACTGTGTAAAAACACCTCGCGTCAGTTAGTGCAAAATATGAGACAAAAAATGTGTCCTTGAAAATGAAATAAGACCCCAAAGAAAAGTGTGACCTTGAAAATGAAATATGACACTTGGGAATGAAATATGAGCCCGAAAAAAGTTAACCTTGAAAATGTAATTTGACACCAAATGAAATTTGAGCCAAAAAAAACCGAGTTGGCCCTTGAAAATGAAACATGACACCCCAAAAAAGTGACCTTGACAAGGAAATATGAGACTGCATCTTGCAAATGCAATATGAGACCAAAAAATGTGTCCTTGAAAATGGAATGAGGCCCCAAAGAAAAGTGTGACCTTGAAAATGGAATATGAGACCAAAAAAAGGTGACCTTGAAATTGTAATATGACACCCCAAAAAAAAAGTGATCTCGAAAATGGAATACACCCAAAATCTAATTTTCTGAAAACCACCCAATTTAATTATCTAAAATATTTGACCTTCAATCGTCTAATACACCTGCTAATGTGACAGTTCAATAACTGCGCTTTGACGTTGTCTATATCATTGTTTGTGATCTACTGACAGAAATACATTATTATTATTATTATTATTATTATTATTATTATTATTATTATTATTATGTGAGTTGACCACATCCGCTTGTCGTCTAATATTTCTGAGGATCCTTGAATATGAAACCTCAGCATGGTAATCAATTGGAGGGGGATAGGTGAGAGACTCTTGGAAAGGAAATATGAAACCAAAAAATTGACCTTGAAAATTAAATACTACACCACAAAAAGTGATTTAGAAAATGAAATATGACACTTGACCTTGAAAATGAAATATGACAAGCAAGTTAATCTTGAATATGAAATATGACACCTAAAAAAAAGAGAACAGGATTTACATCTTGGGGAGGGGGGGGGGCAGTGGCCATCAACCTTGACCTACTTTCCAAGGTCACCACCAGGTGGCTGGTCCAGAACCGGCCCTACTACCCTACTCTCGCGTCAGTGCAAAAATCTTTATCCCGTATTTGGCCGGTTTACTAGGAATGTACTGCCGGAACGGACATTTGCCACGAAACGCTACTAGCTGCTCATCTATGGTTACATACATACTAGGGGAATAAGCTTGTCTACATTTAGTAACAAATGCATCAAAAATTGTCCTAATCGGTGCAAGTTTATCGAGTGCCACTCTCTCTTGTCTTGTTTCATAATTGTCAAAACGTAAGCAGCACAAGAGAAATTGAAATCTCTGAAGCACCATGGTCATTCTGAATATCGGTACTCCTGTACTGATCTTTTTCTGCATACGCATCAGATTTAGCTCTACTTTTCTGATTCGTGTGAATGCTAATTTCAGTTATCATCGTTTCAGTAATAAAATATTGCCAACATTCTGATGCTGTTTTAACCGTCTTTATATGGTCTTCTTACAGTAGGTAATTGAGTAATAATATTTTCTGATCTTACCCTGACATTTGGTCGAGGGGGATGCTTGAACCATTTCGTTACATCATCTTTACCTGTATAAAATACACCTTCAACGTCATTTTCCGTGTCGTTTTCTTCATCGCTGATTTCTTGTTCTGTCTCACTATTGTGGTCGCTTTCACTCAAATGGTCTATTTCTCCTTCATCACTTGAAATTTCATCTAGTTCTTCATTTTGTACGTCTTCCCATAAGCTCATAAGCCTACGTTGCTCCCGTTCGCAATCTCCCATTTTGAAAATAATGAACCTGTAACAGTTTATAAATATTTACTAACCCTCTTTTGAAGTAATATTTGATGCATGAAGCTTAAAATTGTAAAAACTTACCGTGAAAGTGTCTTCAATTTTGAGTAACGTATTCACTCTGGTGGGGTCTACGATACCCAATCCACTGTATGCATACGCTTAACAGGTTGTGTGCACTACGAATCCCGAAACTGCACTGGCATCAGATAGATCAATGTAGCGGGGGCAGCTACCCGCAATAGGCTTCAATAGATATATTGTGCTTACCATACCTCTGGACCTCTCAGACCCCACCATATATAGATATTATCGAGGTATTCAAGGAAGAAAGTGCAGACGCCAACGCAATCGCAGAAGCAGGAGAAAAATTTCTGATCTCAAAAGGATTCATCCCTGGATTTTCTCCGATATCAGCAGTTTTCGAGATCGGCGACAATTCAACCTTGCTTCACTACCCCCCACAGCAGCGGCAGCTAGACAACATTCATTCCGCATCTATCATCAAGTTCAAGCCTGGTATGGTATTGAAAAAAATCCGGAAGAATGGGGATGGAAAAGGAGTAATGTCGGACTTACTCCTTTTAAAACAACTAAAGAGTCTGCTCCAGAAGTACTTCTGAAATTCATTTCAAGAGAGTGTAAAAAAGGATGCGTCTCAGCATGCGGCTGCAGAAAGGCGGGTTTGAATTGTTCCCTAATTTGCATGTACTGCACGGGAAATTCTTGCGAGAATATAGCGAAAATTTTGAACGACTCGGATGACGAAGACCCAGATGATATCATTCTATCTCCGACGTTTGATGATATGGACGAAGATTCCGGACAAGATGAACCAGATGTAGAAAACACGAACAAAACCAGTGTGAACCTAAGCGAATTTGGTCCATCCTCCAGAGTATTGCGACGAAGACAACAATAATACTTCAAAACATTAAAACTCTAGAAACATTGATTCCAGAAAAAAACTTTACAGACAAAATATTTAGAGAATTTTCATGTCTACAATTTTTGTAATAGCCATTTTTGGTCTAGAAGGTACCGAAAAAGAGATATCATGAAAAAACTGATTTTAGGCGCCATTTCTTCAATATGGTGGCGCTAGCGGCGGCTTTACGAGGTCGCAAATCATACACGTAACAGAGGTTAAATATAGGTATGTACTTGACTTGAATAAAAGTGAGGTTTTATTACATTTAAACTATCATTCCTGACAACTAATACACATATTATAGAACATCGTTAAAAATATTATATGCACCCTTCACTTCACCATATGACGCTCGGCCTGAAGATGACCTGATATAGGTTGAAATCGATAGCCGCATTAATAAATATAAAAAACGTGTCTAAAAAAGTTTTTTTCTTTAATTCAAATCCTCATCACCAACACGTTTAAAAGGAACGATGGAACAATACATCAATCGAATGTACTTGACTGCTAAGTTTCAAAACTCCTGTATTTTGTCCCAGGTAAAGCACTTTTGAGTCCCCCATTGCTTGGCCTATTGTTGGCTACAGAGGTTCGTAAAAGCATTGTAAAAGACATATTGGACGCTAAAATGTACTCCGTTATGGCTGATACTACGCCTGATATGTCACACGTTGATCGTCTTACCATAAACGTAAGATACGTTGACGTTAACTCTGGAGAACCTGTGGGGCATCTTCTAAAAACGGACGTAGTGTTATCAAAAAATATTGGGGCTGAATTAGCACAGAAAATGTTCAACGAAATCATTGCACAAGGATTGCCGATTGACTCCCTGGTGTTTCAGTCATGATTTTGCATCGAACATGTCCGGAAAGTACAATGGCCTTCAACAAAAATTTTCTGAGATTTGCGAACACCATATTCCGTATATTCCATGCCAAGCTAATCGTCTAAATATTTTTACAGAATCGGCGGGCAACGTAAGTAGTTTAATTCGAAACTTTTACGACACATTAGAAACATTGTTACGTTTTTTTTTCAGGCAGTACCAAACGCTTTTTATGCTTTCAAGACGAGTAAAATTAAGAACGCGTTGCAATTTAAAAAATCTGTCTAAAACACGCTGGACAGCAAGAGCCGCTTCTGTAAAAGCTGTTTGGACATCTTATGAGGCAATAGCCAGGGTTTTAGAAAAACTTAAACACAGAGTATTATCTATACTTAGTGGAAGTCGAAGACAAAGTATTTTTGTAACACGCGAACAATTTGCGAATATCAAATATTGGTGAACCAGACAAGAGACAATAGTCCAGTTGTAACCAATATTGACGTAGCAAGTACAGTGACAATAAGGGATAGTATCGATGAAAGTGTTCAACATCGAGTACCATCGCCTGTGGAAATTGAAAACGAATCTCCTATATTAAGACGTAATAATAGAGTTGTAAAACCTCCCCAAAAGTTAAACTTATAAGGAGAGGAGTGGAGAGCACAAGTGTAAAAATGTAAACGTGACAACGCTGTAGATTAAATTGAAAGTAGCGAACGTAAATGACAGTCTATAGGCGCTTTCCTTTCACCCACTTAGCTGCCCGCAGGCGCTGCGTAACTGTCAACCAAGCGTTCCTTTCAAGTTAGCGTTTACGCCTTGAGCTCGTCCAATGTTTCCTTCCCCTGCCCCCTCAAGGAGAAGCTATACTGCTTCGGCTTGACGCTTTTGTTTACATTTTTCAGATTTGAGGTTAGCTGTCAACATAGCTCGTGGTATACAATTTGTGTGTGAACGTAAATTTTTAAATATTTTTGGCAAGCCGGAAGTATGGGAAGTACCCAAAGACTTCAAATTCTTGATCCCGAAAGTGGAATAGCATATACTTTATTTCTGAGCGAGGAAGATGCTCAGCGAGCACGTGAAGGTAAGTTACAATTGTTTTAGGTACCTTTATACCTATGTATAAATGATTTTTGTTTTCTTTAGATGACAAATTTGCGAATTCATTGTTACTTCCCGCAAAAATTATGCAAGATTCTTATAGCAAAAACCCTGTCACTGCCGAGGCCGAGGATGATACGGAACCAACTGCTATTGAATCGGAGGCAGTCGCTGAAGTTGCTGCAGGAAATACGTTGTGCGATGTAGATGGTAATACAAAAGTAAATTATGTGTGGCAATACAATCAAGTGGCGGATTTGATAAAATCCATGACTACACATATTGAAGATTTAAATCATCCCAAAAAGAGGAAGCAGGTGTTTGAAAACGTGGCAAATGATTTAATAAGTAGTAAGTACAATGTGAATGCAGCAATAGTGCAAAATAAATGGAACAGTTTATTAAAAAGTTACCGCAAAGCTAAAGACAATAAATCTAGAACTGGTCGCTCGCCGTCTCGCTTCAATTTTTTTGATTTAATGGACGAGCTGGGATCAAATCCGACAAATTCGTGTTCACATGCATTAGATTCCAGCGAAGGCAGAATCGATGAAATACCAGAAGTTCCAGCAAGTCCAAATGAATCCACTTTATCAAGCGCATAAGTAATGAGACAATAGTACCCCAACAGGCCCAACACGATGGGAAATTCAGCGAAAAAAGATTCAAGCGAGAGTACATTGAATTAAAACGTAAGGAGTGTGAAAAACGACAAAAACGGCACGAAGAGTATATTGCACTTGAAAACAGGAAATTAGATCTTCTTGAAAAGTACCTCAATTTAAAACAATGATTACTTTTAAAATTCATCTTTATGTAGGTATAAAAAATATTTACATTCGGCCTTATGCAGTATGCACATTTGACTTAAGTCAAGGTTGAAATTATGACATAAAAACGACATTTGACAGCAATTTCAATATTTGGTATGCAGTATGACACACATTTCAATTTATTGAAAGTAGACGTTTCAATAAATTGAAATCACACCAAGTGACCTTGTAGATTACAAGAATCTATATGCACTAATGCAAAAATTGAAATAATTTTCAAGTCAAGGTTGAAATCAAATCAATTTTTCAAACGTATTGAAAAATCTAGCACGTTATACATACTTGAAATGAGTAAAAAGTGTGGTTAAACATTAAAAATGGACTTAGATTTTTTGGTAGAAATATTAGAAGAGGATAGGAACAGGTAGCAACACTTTCTGTAGAGTGTTCTTACTATTTTTCTGTAATTAATAGGCGAAATGTTAATCTACATCGTAGACATCTAAGAGACACTAGTGACCCTTTATCTCTGCCAGAGGAACATTTTAGGGGCATATTTAGAGTTTCGAGAGAACTAGCACATTGGGTGCTCACACAACTCCTACCTCACATGAGAGATTGTGCACGTAACACATCCATTCCAAAGGGGTTAAGGGTAAACAAATCATTTGTGTTTGTTTATCACAAGGTTTGTTAAATTTTAGTTCTTTACTACTTTGCATTTTTTGAGCCAAGGCTCTTATCAAAAAGGTATTGGTCAAGATTATTTGACGAATATGCATCAAAGTTCTGTGAGCAGATGCATCACAGAAGTAACAGATGTTATGGTAGAAGTATTGGGTTATACCATACAATTTCCAGAAGGAGAAGCTGAAAAAAATCAGGAAAAGCAATTGTATGATTTATATTGATAAATTTCCTTATTTTTATAATTGTTTTTAGGTTTATTGGCATAGGTGGATTTCCTGGTATAATAGGGTGCATTGATGGCACCCAAATAGCCATAGTAGCACCAAAAACAGAACACCCAGAAATGCCAGGGGTTATTTTTTATTGCAGAAAGCAATATTATAGTTTAAATGTGCAGATAGTGAGTAAACATTTTGATTATAATGCTGGTTATTAATTAGTGTTATACTGTTATAGTATATATTCTTAATCTTTTATTTTAATATAAAAAAAATTTTGGAAATAATCATTGTTTATAGAGTTATTTAATGCACTAGGTTCTGATAATACAAATATTTAGAATTTTTTTAATATCACATAGGGACCATATGAACTTTTTAGTTGCAGATTTGTAATGCACAGCTAAAAATAACTAATATCAATGCCAGATTCCCTGGATCCGTACATGATTCGGCGATATGGCAAACATCATTAGTGAGAAGGCATTTGGTAAATAATTATGTTGGAAATAGAAACCAAACGACTTATTTATTGGGTAAGGGGCAGTTTTATTACAATTATTAGTTAAAGAGTTGGCCAGTTAATTCAATATTTATAGGAGATTCAGGTTACCCACTGGAACCATGGCTACTCACTCCAATAGCAAATCCATTAACCGATGCAGAAAGACAATTCAACCGTCGCCATATTAATATTAGAAATACTGTGGAGAGGACTATTGGTGTATTAAAACAACGCTTTCGATGCTGCCTTAAACACAGGACATTGCATTATTCTCCCGAACGCGCTGCACACATTATTTATTCGGCTGCCATATTGCACAATCTTTGCATTACTCGAAATGAATATCTTGATGACATTAATGGTAAATTTTTGTTTACTTTTGTAATCAGTAAACCATTCTTTCTTAGGTAACGGTAATGGAGAAGAGTTTAATGACTGTCATGATGCAGGCAACATTGATAACAATATTGATGGTGTAGGTGTAGATCATGCCGAAAGAAACTTTTTACGTTATGGCCGTAATATGAGGAACAGAGTGGTGGATAATTACTGCATATAGCTATAATAAACCATTGAATAATAAACATTTATTATGTAGATGTACTTAAAACTAGAGTAAATAGGTTTAAAATCGCATCATGCAGAGCATGCAAACTTTTTTGAATAGCGAGTAAACTATTTTTTAGTTTTGTTGAGCCGCTTTTCAATGTGGTGTATAAATCAGTGGATTTTCCTAAAAACAATCTGATAAAACAGTAAATACACAAATTGTCATTACTCAAATGTCTGTATCTCTTTCCTACAGAAAGTTTAATGGGACACGTCTTTGTCTTCTTTGGTTTTGTAAATCCCAATTCTACAACCTTTGGATGCCCATATATTAAAATTTTTGTTAAAACAGATAACAATTGTAGTTCAAGTTCATCCAGAATTTCTAAGATAGGAACTCCACCTCCTGTGCGCTCTTGTTCCAAATAGTTTCTCCTAGCTTTTGCTTTCACTTTTGATTCCCAAACAGTAAAAACCTATTTTACATCATATAAGTGATTTTAAGCACACACCTCAGGTATATACCCTTTTCCAATTTTCAACAGAGCGTTGCAATTTTTTTTCCCCATTCAGTTCTTCACATAATGCTTTAAAAGCATTTTCTTCATTGTCGTATTTATATTTCTTAAAATTTATATACATTTCGTACTGTTGTGGTGTAGTTTTTGTTTTTTTTATTGCTATAAAAGAAAACTACATCAATTTGTATATATATATACATACATATAATCAACAATACACAAAAAACTAACACATACATTTTCAATAAAAAAAATAAAAAAACAAAACATTTCGGAAGCTACATTGTACAGTTACACAGTAACATTAATTCTACTGTTCTTCATATTCCTCGTCCGTTGTTCCACCCAACACAAAAGCTATATTATTAATTGCATCTGCAACTGACTGAATCGCAAGTGCTATATTCTGCAACCCTCTGTTTGTAGATACAACATGTTCATTGAGCAATACTGCAAACGTGAATGTGTAATTGATGCAACGTTCAATTAACAGAAGAAATAGATAAATCTAGAAATACCTACCTTGAGTTGTTTTACGTTTTTTTTTTGAGGCTGTTTCTACCTCCTCGAATTCTTCCTCAACAACCTCACATGCATTCGGATTCACTAAAATTTACAAGCCTTGTTATATACAAGTATCCACCTATACTTACTCAGCAACTCATTACCGTCAGGTGGATTTATTTCGACCGACTCATCTTGAGGGCCCTCTTCGGGTTCCTGTGTATCTATCGCATCAACTATAACAATAAAGACACCTCTAATAAAGTGAATTGAACAAACTTTCAAAAAAATATAGTAATAATATTAATTGTAAAATAATTGTAATATCAACTAGGATAGCCTTTATCTTTTTTTTAGGGTCAACTTTGATAGAAATTGTCTATTGATGTTAAGATTTCAAATAATTGAAACTCACCAACAGGTGGCATTCCCATTTCCTGAACCCCAGAAATTCCAGAGCAGGATATAAACAATCCGGTGACTTCTGCACATCTATTTTCAGTTGGGTTGAGCTGCTTTGAAGCTCGGATTTTTGATTTGATGTGATATTTCATCTCAATAAAGGCCTAAAAAAATATGTATAATAGCATTTATCTTTAATTATAAACACCACCTTTTTCCATCCATCTGACGATTTCTCAACTCCTAAAGTATTAACTGCAGCACTGATGGCTTCCCATGCTTCCTTTTTTTCACCTGGAGTTCCTTTTCCCCACCTCAAGCATTTACTTTCAGCAAACATGTCCACAAGCAGTTTATACTGCTCAGGCGTTGCCTTTTTTGGCGGCATCTAAATTAAAAATTAACATCTAGTACTTATCGATACATACATATCAATTAGGCTGAATCCACATCATTCACGATTTCACAGATCTGTTGCGACTGTGACCAATAAAAGAACAAAGTTGTGGTTGTGAACTTTTAAATGATTATATTGATCACAGTTACAGCGGACCCGAGAAATCATATCATGTGGATTCAGTTTTAGGGTTGTAATTTGTCCATTAATAGCCTCATATAAACATACATACATCATTGAAATTTAAAGTTTTAAATTCAATGCATGCGTACAAGAAATGCAGCACATACATATCAACACAAGGACACAACCAGTAAAAGCTGTTTAATCATTACTTTTATGATCAAATAGTTATCATACTTACCTTCTTTATTTAATAAAAATCACAAAGAAAATAAATATATTTGCACTGTGCACACACAACATTCAAGAAAGATTAAAAGGTTATGTTTAATATTTAAAGACCAGAGATTCTATTCTAACAAATATGAAGTTGGTAAATTTAATACAATGCCATGTTGCCAAATGACACATTGACTTTTATTTCAATCAATCTATGATTTCAATATTTTCAAATCAAGTGCCCATACAGAATACGAAATTTTTTCAACATTGAAATATCCAAAATAATATTCTTGAAATGGTTTCAATGTTGACATCAAATCAATGATTTTACTGCATAGGAGTGATTGTAAAGTTACAGAGACTTATTATACATCGACTCAAACAATTGTTGTCGTTTATTTACGTGCCCATCTATGTTAATGCTCGTGATACGATACTGTGTTTCTGGTGGTTGGTTAAAATCTGTTGTATCCGTTTCTATAAAATCATCCTCAGCAAGACAAATATTGTGAAGTATACAAGCCCCCATAATTATTTTACTGCACAAGTTCATATTTAAATTATCCAGTTTTCTTAACCGCCTAAACCTGCCTTTTAGTAATCCTAGCGCATTCTCTACTACCACTCTGGTGGCAGAGAGTTTATAATTAAATTCATTATGATCCTGTGTTAGATGCCCATTATCTTTAAAAGGGGTGACTAGCCAATGGAAATTTGGATAAGCTGTGTCACCAATTATAAATTTGTCTCTAAGGAAATCTGGGTTATTGTGTATTTTTTTATAAATGCCTGATTTTCTTAACAGTCTGGCATCATGCATGGAACCAGGTTCCCCACAATAAACATCTAAAAATTGTTTATTGTGATCTACAATTACTTGTACAAGTAGGCTATGGTATCCTTTTCTATTAATATAAGCAAGTTGTTCTTCACCGGGCTTATTTATTTCGATGTGACTACCGTCTATGGCACCTATAACACCCTCAATCCCCTTTTTCTTACGAAAACCTTCTACAATAACTTCAGCTTCGACATCTGATGGCCATGTAATAACGTCCGATTTCATTGAAAGTAGAAATTCCAGCACCCGCTTCGTGCATCTATGAGCGGAACTTAGGGTTACGTTAAACCTATCTGAAACTTGTCGAAAAGTTTCTTGGTTGCTTAGATACCATAAGGTCAGGAGAAAAGCTTTTTCGCATGATATTTTATCACGTCCATCTTTATGGGATGGTATATATTTTGAACTATGGGATGGTATATATTTTGAACATTTAAGAAGATCTTAAAGAATTCAATCAACAAATAAAATTACACACGTTTCTATGCTCTCTCACCTATGGCCTTGTAGGCAGTTGATCGCTTCATCCTAAAATGAATCTTAAATTCATCATTGCTGTAATTATGCACTACACGTTCAACATATTCTTCAATTCTGATTAACTTTCTTCTTTCCGACTGCTCCTCATCTGATGATAAAGTAAAAGAACTTTCTGAGGAATCAGAACACCATGACTTGGATAATAATGCCTACAAAGTAGTTTGTTAACAGGCATTATGGTACCTACAATATTAATTCATACGTTTATAATCAATTCCTTTTCACAAAAGGGTTCCATTTCCACTTTTTATTAACATTGAGGTTATGCTACTTTTAGAAAATCAACAAAGAGAGAACAGCTGACACAGTGAGTTTCTTTGTATCGAAAATTCTTGTTCCATTCGCAGCAGACCTGGGGCGCCTAAAATTTTGAAGCCCTGTGGCTTCATCTGCATGAAAGGAAAGCAGCTTATGTGTGCAGGTTGAATGTACAACATTAAATGTTAATAAAAGGGTCTTGTTAAACTGTAATTATTTACAAACGCTTGGACGAACAACTCGGTAGGTCCCCTCGGTCGTGATCACCTTTTTACGAACATGTACGTTTATTAATATCAGTCTGTTATTAACGTTGTTATTAAGTTAAAGCGTGCAATATAATGAACTTATTAGGAAAAATGTTGTGATAACATAACTAAAACATATTCAGCCCTATGCAGTAAGTACATTGACATTAAGTCAAGCTTGAAATGACGTCATAAGATTGACATATGAAAGACATTTCAATAAATATGGCGGATTGGTATGCAGAATAGCACTGTACTCAATTTATTGAAATTTTCCTATTTCAATATATTGAAATCAGGTCAATTGACATATAGTTCGTATGCTCTAAGACAAATCCTTGAAGTATTCCTATCTCAACATTGAAAAAAGTCAATAATTATATAGTCTTGAAAAACTTTGCCCGTTAAGGAACTAAAATAAAGTCAAGAATATTTCGTAACTGAAATTTGTGTAGTATTTAGTTTAGTAGTATTTAATATTAAATTTAATACAAAAGAGTCAAACAGCATTATATTTTCTAATTTGTTGGTATCCTTTAATTATATAACGTTAATAAAAACCCCAACAAGGCTCGACAATTGCCTGGATAACTTCCTAATCAACAAAGATGTCTTTAGTGATCACGAAACGATTGTTGAAGACCCATTTCTCTCTGACCATAAAGCCATTGCTCTCTCAGTGAAGGTTAGCATTCGAACAGACGCTTCTCCTCGACACATTAGATACATCCAACCAGTTACTCTACAAGGATTATATTATTTTTATAACAAAATTGACGCCGTTAATTTTGAATTTGTAAAAAATAAGGAAATGGATATTAACAACAGGTTTGAAACATTCACTCGCATCATCTCCAATCATGCTCAGGAATGTTTTCCTAAGAAGCGCCTTGTCACACATAAAAAGGGCATTAAGTGGTTTAATAAAACCCTACAATCTCTTCGTGACACGCTAAATTTTCTCACAGAGGTCTGCAATCTACACCCAAGTTCAGCAAATCTAGAAATGTTAGAGCGGAAACGGAAAGAGTATACTTGCAAACTACGTAAATTCAAGTGGGAGGCTCACAACCAATACATCTTGAGGCACAGAAGTAATACTAAGGCAATCTGGAATGTCATTAGTGAAAACAGAACCCCTACGTCCCGCCAGGTACACTCACAGCACAGTCCGAACGAAATTAACAGGTACTTTGCAAATGCAACCTCAATCGTCGACACCTCAAAGACTTACATCTTACCCACTCAGGTACATTCCAAAAATTATCAAAAGTTTAATCTCGCAGAAGTCTCGTTTAATTATCTCCGTAGTATCATTAATGGTTTAAAAACGACTACTTCAAAAGACATTTACGGAATTACCGCAAAAATGATCAAAGCTATTAAAAATATCATTATTGAACCCTTAACATTGCTAATCAATGACTGCTTGTCGCTTGGTGTCTTCCCAGATCATCTAAAGACAACGAAAATGATGCCATTACATAAGAACAAAGGTAACCATTTGGATTTGTCAAATTTCAATTTCAATAGTTCCAATATTTGGCAAAATCCTAGAGCTGATCTTACAGACCCAAATATGCACGCACGTCGAAAATGAAAGGATACTCACAAATTCCCAGTACGGTTTTAGAAAAAATAGATCTACCATTCAAGCTATCTTGCAACTACAAGATTTCGTCTGCACTGCTTTCGAAAATCACGATCTGGTATCGGCCCAATTCTACGACTTAACAAAGGCGTTCGACTCCGTATCGCATGCTATACTCATAGAGAAATGCAAATGGTATGGTTTAAGCATGATCCAATCATACTTGCAAAATCGTCAGCAAATCGTTATAGTAAATAACGTTAGTTCGGACGCTTTGATAGTGACAAGGGGTGTACCACAAGGGTCTGTCCTTGGGCCCACTCTATCTTTATTGTACATAAATGACATGATTCATCACCTAACAGCATCTAAAACTATCTTATACGCGGACGACACTACGATACTATCGAAAGGAAAATCCGAAGAAACGAGGCTACAAGCTATGAACTCGTCCTTACAATGTATGGAAAACTGGCTTATTTCGAATGAAATTAAGCTGAATAAGGGGAAAACGCAAACCATACATTTTCGTACTCGACTCAGAGTCAAGCCATGCCTACCATGCAAGAAGGAGGTCAATGATCCAGTGAAATTCTTAGGAATCTACATCGACGAAAACCTAAACTGGGAGAAACATATTCTCTACACGGCCAACAAAATTTCTAAAAGCATTTACCTTCTTAGAAATTTAAAGCAATTTGTATCGATGGAAGTACTTTGGACCTGCTACCACAGCCTCATCGTCACACATATGTCCTACGGTATAAGTGTTTGGGGTTTTTCTAGTAGTGCCAAATTAATTTTCAAACTGCAAAAACGCATTGTGAGAATAATTACAGGTGTTCGGTACACTGAAGACGTACGACATAAGTTTAAGGAACATCGTATACTAACTTTACCCTGTATTTATATTTATCACACCCTCCTCGAAGTGAAAAACAACGTACATGTATATACGACTCAAAATGACATTCATGCACACGATACCCGTACCAAAGACTTAATCAACATAAAACGCTTAAGACTCAACAGGAGTAGGAATTCAACCAACTATCACGGTCCCAAATTGTTTAATCATCTACCTGACACGCTAAGGACTGCCTCTTTAAATAAATTCAGAATTGATGTTAAAAAAATCTTGCTAACTGGTAGCTTTTATTCGATCGATGAATTTTTGTCCTCCAAGCTGTGATGTTAATTTTAATTTGTTTTATTTTTAAATATGACAAGTGTAAATACAGTAATGTATTTTTAGCACAAATATATATTATTATTATAGCAACTGTTGAGTTTTGTTTGAGCCAAATTAACTCAAAATATAATTAAACTTGCGTGGTTTTTACATCAATTAATCCTTTTCGTTAGTGAACTGTGACATCTGAGGTAGTGTAATCAAAATGGAACTAGTTTTTATTATTGACGTACTTGAAAACGAAATTGTCAGGTAAGACACAAGACTGAACTAATAAAGAACATGAAAATAATGCTTTTAACAGACGCCAATTGAATCTACAACGTCGACAATTGAGAGATCATAGTGATCCTTTAACTTTGCCTGAAATTACTTTTAAAGGTTTGTTTCGCATATCAAGGCAGCTAGCTCAATGGGTACTTGATCAAATTCTTCCACATATGAGGGATTCAGCACGCACAACAGCCATCCCTAAAGGTCTTAGGGTAAGTAACGTGTTGTCAAGTGCAATGCTAGTTTTTGTTTAACTTTAGTTTTTTGCTGCATTACACTTTTTAAGTCATGGATCATATCAAAGAGGGGTAGGTCAAGATTACCTGACAAGCATGCATCAAACTTCAGTAAGCAGATGTCTTACAGAAGTAACTGACATTTTAGTACAAGTATTAGGCCACCTCATAAAGTTCCCGGAAACTGAAGTGGAGAAAAACCAGGAAAAACAACGGTGAGTTGGGAATTAATTAATTGAAGTACAAGATTAGTAACATGTATACAACCAGCTGCATTTGAGATTGCCATATAGAACAATTTGAAAACATGAAACCATTGCAATCATGATGACCGCTTTTAGTGTTGCAATTGCTAATCTATAGGTACTTATTTATTTGCTTTGAAACAAGATATACCTTCTACATAATTAAATATCTATGTACCATAACTTGTTTCAGTTTTGTAGATAGTGGTGGATTTCCAGGAATAATTGGATGTATTGACTGTACACAAGTTGCTATCATAGCCCCAAAAACAGAAGACCCAGAAATGCCCGGTGTTGTATTTTACTGTCGAAAACAATACTATAGCTTAAATGTTCAAATAGTAAGCAAAATAAATAGTTTCTTAGCAACCAATGTACTATCTACTGAATTTTTTGCAGATTTGTAATACAAAGTTAAAAATTTTAAACATAAACGCAAGATTTCCGGGATCTGTGCACGATTCTGCCATTTGGCAGACATCATTGGTCAGAAGGCACTTAGTGAACAACTTTAGAGGAAATGGTCGTCAAATGACATATCTGTTAGGTATGCACATTTTAATGTTGTTGTTTACTTCACCAGTTACATACATTATAGGAGACGCAGGGTACCCCTTAGAGCCTTGGCTGTTAACACCAATAGCTAATCCAGTTACTAATAGTGAAAGAGAATACAATCGCCGACATAAAACAATCCGAAATATTTATCATAGAAAGAACAAATGGTCTATTAAAACAAAGATTTAGATGCCTTCTCAAACATCGAACCTTGCATTATGCTCCTGAGAGAGCAGCACAGATTATTTATGCTGCTGCTATCATGCACAATTTGTGTATTGACAGGAATGAATATTTAGGTGACATAAATGGTATGTTGTAACTGCATAAGTGTATTGTATAGTTATTTGTTAAAAATGTTCTTAGATAATTGTCATGAAGAAGAAAATAACAATGAAGTAAACAATAACAATCAAAATGCGGATGAAGAATTAGATCTTCCTGAAAGAAACGTTTTACACCAAGGCCGTATTGTAAGAAATAGAGTAGTAGAAAATTACTGTTTGTAAAAAAAAGTTAAGTTTTATTCTTGTATTTTTATAAAATTTACAATAGCATCATCCAGCGCTTGGAGACTGTTTTTTATAAGTAATAAACTATTAACTAGCTTTTTTGAATTGTCTTTAATAAGGTTACGCAAATCCATTGGTACCTCTAAAAAAAATAAAGTCATTTTATAAAAATTAATGAAGTCATACTTAAATGTCTTTTACGCTTGTAGAGCTTTCTCGCAACAATAGTTGGTGGAGCCCTTTTCAATTTTTTGCATTTTAAAAACCCAAGTTCTATAACTTTAGGGTGGCCGTATATTAATACTTTACTTAAAACTTCCAACAATCTTCTTTCCAAATCATTTAAAATTTCAATAATTGGAACCCCACCTCCCGTGATCTCACGCTCCATGTAAATACGCCTTGCTTTGGCCTTCACCTTCGATTCCCATTCGCTGAAAATCTACCAAACTTGGAAAAGTTTCAAAAAAAAGATGATGCTTATGTACCTTTTTCCAATTTAAGGTCGACCGTTTCGGGCCATTTCTTATTGTATTGAGTTCCGAACATAGAGTCTCAAACGCTTCTTCATTATGATGTTTGCATTTTTTAAAATGAATGTACATTTCATATTGTTCAGATAAGGTCTTTTTTTTAATTGCTGTAAAAACATCAGACTTCATTTTGTAACCATTATATTATAAACATAATTCAACACATAAAACGTAAAAAAACTGAAATAACATTCTCATAAACATAATTGGTAGAGTATTTAATAATTTATAGCCAATGATTATGGTATGTTATAACTTGAAACTAGTTTCAGTGGTGTGAACAAATTTATATTAAATATCACACAACTGAACCTCAAAACATATTTACAAAATTAAGCCTATTTTGAAACTATTGCTGTCTAATTGAAATAGCAACAGCAATATTATTCAGTGCATCTGCCACCGAGTGTATAGCTGTTGCTATTTCACGTAGCCCTTCATTTGTCGAGGACAGATGATCATTTAATAATACTGAAAATAAAAAGTTTACTATATAAAGCTCTTCTTTATAAAGTTATGTATGCTGGATGATACTTACAATATGTTGATTTTGGTTTGGATTTTGATTTTGAAGTAACGGGAACATCATGTGAGCCTGTTTCTCTATCGGCGTCTTCGTCATTTACATTTACAGCATTATTTTCCTTTACATTCTCCTCCACAGTCTCCTCAGCAACTTCATCTTGAAGGGGTTCCTCTGATTTTCCTATAATTAAACTAATTTACTTGTTTGATAACAGTCCTTTGTATCATATGAAACCACACTTCAAGAAAAAAATGTATATCTGAGGCTTATACGATGCCACTTATGTATATTATATTTATGTTACTCAGGTTTACCTTGTGAAGGTCCATTTTATTTATTATTTAAAAACTTACCCTGCGGCTCCACTCCCAACTCTTCAACAGAGCTCATGCCGCTGCATAACACATTCAATCCAGCAATTTCGGCACATTTCTTTTCAATGGCATTTAAATCCTTACCATTCCTAATTTTTGATTTTATGTGCGATTTCATCTCCACGAATGCCTGTATAAATAAAAAAATTAGTGAATAAATCATCATAGTATTTGTATTCCAGTACCTTTTTCCAACCTTCAGGAGTTTTCTCCACTCCTCCTACAGAATTAAGAACTGCACCAATCCTGCTCCACTCTTCCTTTTTTTGATCAAGAGTACCCTTTCCCCACTTCAAACAACTAGATTCTCCAACCTGCTCCACTAGAAGCTGGTATTGCTCTTGTGTAGCCTTTTTGGGGGGCATCTACAAAACACACATGCTATATTACTGCATTTCATCAGCATTTATTTATTGAATTATGTTAATACATATACTTACTTCTGTTTAATTCTAATGCGAGCAGCAAAAAACCGATCACCAATTTTCGCGCAATCGATGTAAAGAAATGTAGGGTTAAATAAATTAAAATAACGTCAATAAGGTTAGGTTAAATGTATAATGAAGTTAGAAGTTGCAGAGAAAATGCGATGTTGCCAAATAAACGCTTGACTTAAATTTCAATCTTTATAAATTTCAATAACTTCAAGTCAAGTAGACATACAGCATACCGATTTTTTTCAAGATTGAAATAGAAAGTCAATTTTATTGAAATCATGCCAATGTTGACATGAAAGTCAATGTACTTACAGCATAAGGCTGATTATCTGCAGTGCGTATTAGCTTAAAAAGCTCGAAGTATAAATTAAGCGATAATTATATCTTCCTGAAAACTTCATTAAATGTATTTGTCAAAGATGTAATTCATGAAGAAAAATTCGTGAGCGGAATAGAAAGTGCCAAATAGGTTTTTATACGTAAATTTGATATTTTTCTTTAGCGAATCATCTCCAATCAGCGTTCAGCACATATCAAACCAAAAAATGTGTAAATATTAATGATTTAAAACATTAAATAAAAAATAAATTTAGTATAATTATCAAAACAAAAAAAAACGTGATTTGATAAATACCTATCCGTTTCATATACTATTACAAATACAAATCTTTCATTGCAGTAAAGCATTTGAAATGAAAATGAATGGGGTAAACACATTCACATATAGAGTTAACGATAAGAAGTAAAAGGATAGAAATCGTTTACAGTCTCTTATCGCCCAAACAAATTCCAAAGAAAATATTCCCAAGAGAAATCCGAAATTCTGTACATGAGCTTATAACAACTTTTTCTTTCTTTTCCTATGATCACATCTAATTAATAGTATCTTAACGCGACTATGATAAAGACGGACAGAGGGGGTGGGTAAAATACGACCAGTTTTATTTACTCTATATTTTAAAACATTTCATTTTATAACCGCGGTTAAATAAAGTACTCGCAATATAACTTAATAACAGCCCATAAATGAAATAACACACCAACATTTCACAATGATCATCAAATTAATTAATAATAAAAAGGAACTCGATCAATAAGGAATGTTCGAGTCCTTCCTCAGAGTTATCCTCGTGGCTAAATTCTTCAGTGGCGGAAATTAACAATTACCCGAACACCCTTAGCGCTTTTGTTTACCTACTATTAATCGCTCTGAAGTAAATGGAAAACGAGTTCTCTTTCGTAAACTTTATTTGAGAGAAAACTTCGACAAATTAATTAGCAATTGTGTCTTCATCTCAAAGCACTTAAACTGTTATATCATTAATCAGCCTCGTCATCTGATTCAATAGGAGATGGTGGAAGTGTGTGACAATTCAATTTATGTTCTTTGTCGTCGGTGTGGAAACGAAGTCCAATTCTAGCTCGCCTCGTATTCTTGAAATGAGCTGAGTTATAAAGTGCTAAGAAATACTAACGCTGCATTCCAACTATTAAAGTAGGTAGTATCAAATCACAAAGTTGGAAGATACGACGCGGTTAATCTTTCTATTTGAATTCCTTCCAGTTCGAAATTCTTTGGATTTATAACTTTCCGGATCCGGGTCCTTCAGATTACAGAGTTATTCAAGTGTTTGCTATACGAAGAGTTCGGAGGTACTTTACCTATTTCTTTGAAGTGAATTTTGCGTTAAGTTCCGTAGTTCCACACATAGTTCCGTATCAATTAGCTTATTTGTAAACTAAATGTGTCTCTGTGTAAATGACTGCATGAACGAACTTCAGGATTAAAATCCAGAGCTCACATAAACCTACAGTGGTTAAGATAAGAAATAGTCTCCTACTCACTTTTTAAATGCAGTCAAACCAAAATAAGTAACTATACGGAAAAAAGTATATTGTCTATACAAGAATACATGACTCTTCAAATGTATTTATTTCTTTTGAAGTCCAGGATGTTCATTTGATGTGCCCTTACTCTTGTTATTGTCACGTTGAATATAGTATACTGTATAATGCGGTATATATACATATATACTGCACTTAAACGTGGTGGAGTTTTCGTTATCAAATCATCCACATATACTTTGGCACAGCGCACAGTTCCTGACAATGGCGTTTTGCATTTAGTATATTTGCAATTTTACATTCCAATTTTCACACGTATGTAGGTAACTATATTTTGGCATAATTTTGGTATTGTAGTTAATGTTGTTACACTCTTAGAACCGGTTGCACAAACCTATTAGATTTGGGTTTAATCGTGAAGTGATGTTAAAAGAAACATGATTAGTTAGTATACCTTTGGGCTTTGATACTATCCAATCGGGTTATTAACAAACCTACTACGCAACCAACCAAATACCTTAACATTCCGATCAATAATAATCATTTTTTAACTACTGGAATTTAATGTTTGATATACGATGTATTTTTTGTGTTTTCCTCAGAAAATAAAATAGAAGAAAACCAGCTGCAATATCTAATTCCGGAGTTACTCAAGGAGCTAATTCCGCAAACGGGACCGCGGTCTGGCAAACAATTTTAGAATTGCAAAGAAAAGAAGACTTAGAAGGAAACAGTAGTAACGGTTTAACATTCAGTTTCTAATATCGCAATGTATATGTATAACGAAAAAAACAACACTATCAATTTAATTACCCTATTATATTATACTTTTGTCATAACTTTGATGTATCTAAGTATTGGTTGCTCTAATAACGTTAAAATACAAATTTCAAATCATAGTTTATTTTATAGATAGGACTATATGGGTCTTTAGACAAAATTCTTCCGGACGATTTCTAATATGCTCACTTTATAGGGTGAACTTCGAGAAAACAATTCTATTAGCACAACAGAGACTACTGCGTCCCGTTGTAATTTAATTTTCCCTTATCATTTCGTTTTTTTTCCTATTTGCCACTTTACTTCGTTACCCTCCGTTTTCCCTTTCCAACTTACTTAAAAGCAAACATGCGCGGAAAAAGGGGAATCGAGAAGGGTAGATTGCGGGGAGTGCGCGCTAGAAAACCACCGGGTTCGGCCGTCGATTATTAAGAAAACCACAAGCCATCAACTGATGTCAAGTCGTTCGTTCGTCAATAGATTTGTCAAGAATATCGTCGTCGTTCAACAATTAGTACTTGGAATCCACAATTCCTAGCAACAATTTCGTCGTCGTCTAGCGGTAAGTATTTGCAACCCTTCGTCGTCTGTCTATCCACCGTAGTGGACAAGTGAACCACCAGCGCTTGTCTTCGTCATTAAACAAGTAAGTTCCTTTTTTATTAATTCGTCCTGTCAACCTCAATTTTGCAGTCAGCCAAACATTTAATTATCAGCGATGCCTACTTAAATAGTTTTGGTGGTATATGATTTTCCACTACTTCCCAGATCTGATCTTTCATCATTGTTGGTGCAAATGTAATGTCTCGTGATGGTAGCCATAATTATTGACATTTTTGTCCAGCATTGATTTGGACTTTTTTCTACCAATCCTGAATGGTAAGAAGCGTTGTCCATAATTATAAGAGAAGGTGTCATCCAAGTTCGGGATCAATTGTTGTTCAAACCACTTCTCAAGGTTAACGCAATTCATGGAGTCATGATAGTCCACGGATTTGCTTGATTTAAAAATAAGACTTGCATTTGGTACAAATCCATCTTCTGATCCTACCGGACCCCTTCACCACTTCTTTTTCTAACTGTTTTGAGAGTACCATCTTGCCAGCTTCTTCTAAAAGACTCTTTACTGTATATACAGGTTTCGTCTAAAACCACGTACAGGTCGTAATGGAAAGAGTGAAGTTTCGTTTTGTTTAAAGTCTCTCAAAAATTGTAGTCTTCTCAGGGCCGTAGCCAGACTGTATAATCAGGACAGGCTCACAAACATTCAGGACAGGCGGCCTATTCCTGAACTATGACAAATGAAGCAAGCATACATAAACGTGTGTTTGTGTTTGCTATGCCACTGGTTCAAAATTACGTCAAAATGGCGTTACAAACGTATACAAACTTGTTCCAATGATATCGAGAATATGCCTCCAGACTGAAATCTGAAATGTAGGTAATGGCATTTCTAGTTTTCAAAAAAACACTACTGGCTTTATTTTCATAAGCACTTATTTTATTTTGCAAATAACCACTCGGCTGGCCTAAATTAACAAAAAATTCAAAATTTACTAGGTTTGTGAACACACGTGGAATTTTTTTTAAATAATGAATAATAATCTAAAATGAAACCCTGAATTTCTCAGAGTGACCTATTACTACATTAAATGTACCCTGGAACGAATTTAATGCTCATCAAACAGCACAGACGATAGCAGATATCAAATGTCACTTACTTTTACACACTTGTTCTTTCACGGTAAGCAATCGCAATCCTCTACCTTTTATATTTAATAGCATGCTCGAGAAAAATACATCAAAATAAAGTAGTACTTCGCATTTTTTAAATTTAAAAGTTTTTAATCACCGATTCTTAACCAGATTAAATTTTCTCAATCGTCCTCGTAATAGAAGCGTATATGGTTAAAATTTTTCAGAGATTTTCGTAAGTAAAAAAGATGTCATTTTGCAGTTTGCGCATGCGCACATTTGATTTTTTACTACGTGTTTCCCTTTGCGAATTACATTTCTAGTTTTCGATTTTTACTAAATGTGATATGTTTTTCTTTACTAGAAGCATCTATGGTTACAAATTCGAAGAAATATTGTCATAAATAATGAAGTTGGGATTGCGCAGAATGTAATGTTTACAATATGAGATATGTTTGCCTTCGTTGAAAAATGCGCTAAGAGATCAAAGCTTCACCAAATATTTGTGATAAACCACCGACTTCACGAGACGCCCTCGGCCATTTGAGATGTTGATATATCGTAATTCTATACCGATAGACAGTGCAGCGTTGCGGGTTTTAAAAAACATGTTATACATAGATATGTTCGTTTAATTGATAACCGCAACATCGGCAATAGTAATAATTATATATTTTAGCACACTAGTAAATTACAATAGGAAATTCGGAAATCTGGCTAGGGCAGGCTTAAAATTTTTCAGGGGAGGCTCAGCCTGCCCTGGCGTACCTCTGGCTACGGCCCTGAGTCTTCTTTGAGCTACATAGGGCTGTTGTTCCATTAAAAATAATCTATTAGAAACGGTGCATCTCCGCCACGTGAATTTCAGTTTCTTCAAACTGCGGGACAAAGAGGTAGCAGATATTTCTACGGCATCAAGTCGTTGAAGATACTGTGTAATGAACGGAGTGTAACAATTCTCGCCTATAAAATCAATTCAATAAGTTCGCGTCGTGCCATTAAACTCGTTGCGCGTGCTTTAAAGACTTGATTATACAGTTGTATCTTAATATACTATTATATGCAAATTTTGTACATAAATTCTGTATGACACATTCACTAAATTTTGTACCGAATTTTGCAGCTAAATTTAGTATTAAATTTCGATAAGTGTCAACAGTTAACAGCCTTTATAACCGACGAGGTTGGACCTCGCCTAAATCTAATGCTTTTGAAAAATTCACACGCTTCATGTAGACAACTTTTTATGTTTCTATTTCAATACGATTGCTTCCAAAAAAACAAGTCCTCGGTAGTATAGTGGTCAGTATCCCCGCCTGTCACGCGGGAGACCGGGGTTCGATTCCCCGCCGGGGAGGACATTTTTTAACTACATTTTAAATACAATCAAGTTGAGTAACTATATTACAGAATTGCCTAATCGGAATATCAATCTGCTGAACGAATATCATAGTTTTTGTAAGCAATATGTACAAATAATTCTTAAGTTTTCTTCTCTAGTTGCCAGTATTTCGTCCTCCTGTAGTTAAAAATAGTATCACGAGTCAATAATGATAGCTATTATTATAATAGCCATTATTGCAAGTAATATAGTTACTTTATGTACGATTAATTTAATATTGTAAGAATTTTATCTATTCGATACAAATACACAAACAGAAACACATAGACCTGGAGATGGTGATACTTTTTCTGGTGTGATCAAAACGAAAATGGTGCTAACTCCCTGGGAGTGAGGCCGTTATTGCTTGACGATTGGCCCGGGATTGATGTTTGAATCTTGATATTTACTTTTTTTACACCTCAAACTGTCACGCAAAATGGGTGCTATACTGTAGCAAATCGTCTAAATTTTGCAATAATTCTTGCATTTTTGAAAAAATATTATACATAATTGGGCCATGTTACAGGTATAGCGGATCGAAATTTGGCATTAAATTGACATTTAATTTAAGAAATTTTTTAATTTGCGTGCAAGAGGGCGTAAGAGCTATTAATACCTGGTGATTTCTCCCTAAGGGAATATTATTCCCAAGCCCACGAAAAAAAAGTATAATATAATATAATACTTTATCTATTAGTCGTAGATAAAAAAAGTCAATAAATGTTTTTATATCGAATTGCTTATGGGCGTAGGCTTGGATTAGCTTTTATTATGAGCAGTTAGTGTATTGATTAACCAGCGATTACCAATGTACCATTATTTATCAGCAATATAACGGTTTAACGACATTTGTTTAGAAATAGAAAATTTTTTTCTGAAACATATTCCTTTTGATGTGAATTTACGGCAACCTCCATAGCCTCTGCAGCAAATTCGTCAATATTTATGAATGACAAATGACATTCAGAATTAAAAAAAATATATTAAAGATTACACAAGTAAAATTACAGATGAAATCGATTTTTACAAATAACGGAGGCAAGTATATAGTATGACAGGATTCTTTCAGGACAAAAATGAATAGCTTTTACAATTTCAGTACGAGCCCACATTTATATAATGAGTATTTGGTCGGTTCACGGGACACGAATAAGAACAGAATTAATATTTTATGTCGAGTAATTACACACTTCATTTTATTGACATTTCAACTTTGGAACCCCCTTTGATGTTTATTTAGCAAAACTTGTCGAAGAAAGTATGGTCCTATTATTAAACAATCGCCTGAATGCTTTTTTTTCTAAAATCGAATATCGGCTAAATGAAAAAGTATTTACGTATTGGAAATTTGCCAGGACTATAAGAATGGAAATCTAAAGCGCTTTTATGAATGAAAAGTTTTTTCAATACGTTTTCTTATGAGTTGCTGTTTGTTGTTCATGACACTTTCCCTGTATTTCAAATTGATAATTTGGGCCGTAACAGAAACTAAATTTGTTAATCAAATATTTCACTTCAGTGTGGATAGCGTGTTAAATGTTATCTATATCATTAGATCAAACATAAAATAAATTCTAAAAAACCTTATATTACTTTAACATATCGAAAACAACTGATTTTCATAATTAACTAGATTAATAGTATATTATATTATGAGGAGCTAAAGTGATACTTTTTATGGCGAGTCAGTGTTTGATGGCCGAGCGAAGCGAGGCCAGCAAAATACTGACGAGCCATAAGAAGTTACTTTAGCTCCGCATAATATATGCTATTTTTTCTTCAAACGTGAGAATAACGCCCAAATAATGGTTTTCAAATCGGAAGAAATATTAACCCGATCGTTATGGGTAGCCGTGAGCGCGTCGGCCGTGGTGACTATAACAATTGCTATAGTTGGCCATTATTAGTTTTGACGTTTTAATTGTGGACGAGTTTTTCGATTTCAAATAAAAATGAAATTGCACAAAAAATACTTTCGACAACTTTAGAAAATCCAGGTTTATCAGATGGAATGACTTCAACTACTCCTTCATTTGAAGCAGAAACCAATCCAGTTTTTTTGAAAATACTTCATTCATTCATTAGAAATAAGACGAGCCAAACAAAACTTGACTCTTCAAAACTTGGATGCTGCAGGAACGAAGGTTTAATTTCAATAATGGTAATATGACTAACTTGTTGTGTCTTTACACGAGGTGTGACCGGACCATTGACTATACACAATTCGTTAATTAGTCTTTATTGAACACAACATAACAAGAGACATTGAACGACCTTTTTGTGACACCTTTCTCTAAACTCTATATTACCAACTTAACTTACTAAACTTAACCCAATACATAACACTCTTCCCCCTTTACAAATCAAGCCTAGAGGGCGCCTTTATGGTTCTTTGTGAACGTCTGAGTACCTGAGGCGTTATAGAAACTGGAGCAGGACTTTTAGGTGCTTGGTCAGGATTTGGACTATCAGGTAAAGAAACACTTGAGTCTTCAATCACTTCTTCCTGAACATTCTCATCCGGAGCCTTCTCAACGCTGACCGAAGGACTGGGGTTACTCCCTTGTATGTACGGTCTTACAATTGGATTTGTCTCTTCTTCTAATATGGACATCTTTAGGTAATCGGCATGAAGATATCGTACCTGATTATTCACCATTACTAAATATGTAACTGGACTGACGACCTTTGCAATTTTTCCAGGAATCCACCTGTTGACACGAGTATCAAAGGTAAGTACTTTTTGGCCTTCATAGAATCTTCTCATTATTCCTCTTTTACTATCCTGGTATATTTTCACTTTTCCATCGATTTTATCTTCTCTTCTCTTCCCTCTTAAAAATGTTGGTTTTAGTAAGGAGAGTTTTGTTCTGGGTTGGCGTTTTAATACTAAATTCGCCGGACAAACTCCTGTGACTGAGTTGGGTGTATTGCGAAAAGAAAACAAGTATTCATCGATCTGTTCCTGTAAAGTCATGGTAATCTTCTGTTTTTCATTATCCTTTAATTGCTTCAATAAGCCTCTCTTGATGGTATCCACATACTTTTCCGCTTTGCCATTTGAGCAAGGATGAACTGGTGGAGTCAAGGATACTTTTGTGCCTATTGAAAGTGCAAACTTCTTGTATTCCTCCCCATTAAATGGAGGTCCGTTGTCTGATACTATCTCTTCTGGAATTCCGAACGTAGCAAATATGTGTTTTAGCGCTTGAATAGTTTTAGACGAATTTGTTCCATGCATTATCTGTATCTCGATCCATCGACTGTAGCTATCTACTACTATCAAGAATTTCTTGTCAAATTTTTCCAAGAAGTCAATGTGTATTCTCTCCCAAACTCGCTCGGTTTTTGACCATGGTGTATACGGTACTGGAACTGCTTTGGGTTGTAAGGATTGACAATTTTCGCAAGAGTTAATACAATTCTCCAGATCTTGATTTAGATTAGGCCACCAAACTTCACCACGTGCTAACATTTTTGCTCGAACTATCCCTATATGCTTATCGTGTAGCAATTTCAAGACTGAATCCCGCAGTTGGAATGGAATGACAACTCTATTCCCCCAGAGTAAACAATTATTTTCAACTGTTAATTCACTTCTTCGGATGTAATATGGTTTCAGATTACTTTCGTTAATCTTGTTGGGCCAACCTTTTTGTGTATATTCTATCACTTTAGAAAGTGTTTGGTCTTGCTTGGTGCATTCTACTATCTCAAGTGCTGTCAACGGTAGCACATAATAATCAGAAAAAGAATACGCTTTTTCTTCCGTCGATTCTTCAAGTGGAAGTCGTGACATGGCATCAGCGTTTGCCATATCTTGTCCTTTCCGGTATTTGATTTCATACTGGTAAGCTTGTAGGATCAACGCCCATCGTTGTAATCTCGCAGCAGACAGAGTAGGTATTTTATTTTTCGCTCCCAGGATTGTTTTCAACGGTAAGTGATCGGTGATCAGCGTAAAAGGCCTATTGTAGATAAATTTATGAAACTTCTTAATCGAAAATATGATTGCCAGTGCTTCTCGCTCAAGCTGTGAGTATCTACGCTGAGTTTCCGTCATTGTGCCAGATACAAACATAATTGGTCTTTCCTCGCCGTTCACTATGTGACTAAGCACACCGCCAACTCCGTATTGGGACGCATCGGCAGCCATAACTAAAGGTAAATCAGGTGAGTATGCAATTAAAGCTTTACTGTTTAGCAATAACTGCTTGCTCTTCTCAAAGGCTTGTCGACATTTACTGGACCATTCGAATGGGACATCTTTTTGCTCTAACCTATACAACGGATGTAATTCTGAAGACAACATAGGTAAATATTTGTTATAATAGTTCAGCAGACCTAAATACGAGCGTAACTGTTGCAGGTTTTTGGGTTCGGGTGCTCTTTCGATAGCCTCCATTTTACTCTTCATAGGTTTGATTCCTATTTCCGACAACTCGTGACCCAAAAATTCCACCGTTTGGACGAAAAACTTACATTTTTGGAAATTCACCTTGACATTAAACTTATCTAATCTAGACAGAACAATTTCAACATTCCTGAAGCAGTCTTCAAGCGACTGACCCACGATAATGACATCATCTAAATAACAGCCAACATTTTTAATTCCCTGAAGTATCTGATCCATAATTGCTTGAAATTGTGCTGGTGCACAAGCTACGCCGTAAGGTAATCTATTATACTGATAAAGACCTTTGTGTGTGTTAATCGTTAACAAATGTTTGGATTCAGGGCTCATCTCTAACTGTTGATAAGCATTACTCAAATCAAGAACAGTGAAGAATTTCCCCTTAGCAACTTGGTTAAAAATATCTTCTACCCTCGGTAATGGGTAATGATTAACCTTGATTAATGGATTAAGAGTTACCTTAAAATCAACACAGATTCTTAAGGACTTCGATGACTTTTTGGGCACTACGACTATTGGACTCGCCCACTCGCTGTATTCAACCTTTTCCAATATTCCATTTACTACCATTTCTTCAAGTTCCTTTTCCACTTCTTCTTTAATAGAGTAAGGGACGGTATACGGTTTGTGGAATACAGGGGTAACATTTTCTTTTAACACAATATTACATTTAAAATTTTTGATGCATTTTGCTTTATCGTTACTAAAGACATTTCTGTACTTGTCTTTAAATTCAGACACAATTTTTGAAATATCTACCTCAATGACATTACAATGCAAACTTTCACGCCACCTAGGTAATAACATATTTAGCCAATTCCTACCCAGTAGTGGTATAAACTCGATTTTAGACAAGACAACGACTAACGGCAATTCATACTTGACATCGGACTCAATACATTTAACCTTTACCATCATTTCACCTACAATTTGTAACTGATCTCCTTGTACGGTTTTAATTTTTAACCTACTTTTACAAATTGGTATATCTTTAAAATATTTGTTACGAGTATCAACAGAAATTAAACTTACGCTTGCGCCTGTATCAACTTCCATGTCTATTATGCGTTTTTCAACATTAACTTTCAAAATAGCTGGATTAGACTTACTTGACACCTGAATGTTCTTGCAGAATCCCACGAATTCTTCATCGGTCGACTCTTCTTTTGCTTCCTCCGTGACATCCTCTTGATCGACTAGTAAATGGACTTTCTTCTGTTTATTCCTACAGACTCTGGACGTATGGCCTTGACGATGACATAAAAAGCACTCCCACTCTTTGGCTGGGCACGTGTCTGGATTATGGAACCTTCCACATCTAAGACAGGACTGGCCTCGACTTGACCTTTGACTAACAGACGTAGACGTAGAGTTTTTATTCGACTTTTGACTGGACGATGCTAAGCTCCGACTGGACTTCGGACTACACGACACTGACATTTGACCACGTACTTGACTTTGACTGACATCCTTCCTTCTTTGACTCACTTGTTTGGACGAGTTTCCTCTATACAACTTATTTACTTTACCATCTTGCTGTAACTCAAGGCTCTCTGACTGTATTAATTCTTGTGCTAAAGCCAACTCGCACAGCTTGGAAAACGACAAATCCTTCTCAGACAGTAGACGGTTTTGTATCTTCTTATTTGACATACCACTTATAAACTTATCTCTCAGTGCACGATCTAAAAAATTTCCAAACTCACACAAATCCGCTTGTTCTTTGAGTTTACTTATATATTCAGCGATCGACATACTACCTTGACTAATTTTATAAAACAGGTGACTTTCGAACGTGACTGACTTCACTGGAGCCATTCGCTGCTTTAATATTGCCTTTAATTCCTCGTACGACTGACTAGCAACTTTGTTCGGTTTGACAGCGTTTTTCATCACTCTGTATGCTTCACTTCCAACCAGGGTGACAAATAAATCGACTTCATGATTACCTTCGACTTGATTGCACTTAAACAGGTGATCCATTCTCTCCAGGTAGCTTTCGATTTCCGTTTTTTCTAAGTCGATGGGTTCGATCGTACCAATAAGTGACATTTTGTTGATTGTTGTTTTCTATGGTTTTTACAATGACATTCGACTGCAACTAACTTCCGACTGGGCTGATGGAAAATGGCTGACAAGACTCACTTCCGGGTTTGGAGGTTACGACTTCGATTTTTCACGGATTTTCGCTTTGTTCCTTTTTATCTCGTCGCCAATTTATGTTGTGTCTTTACACGAGGTGTGACCGGACCATTGACTATACACAATTCGTTAATTAGTCTTTATTGAACACAACATAACAAGAGACATTGAACGACCTTTTTGTGACACCTTTCTCTAAACTCTATATTACCAACTTAACTTACTAAACTTAACCCAATACATAACATAACTGAACTTTCAACATTAACTATTATTTAAATAAATAAATAGCTTCTTTGATCGACTATATTTTTATTTCTGTTAAAATCAGAAGGAAAGATCAACGCACTTGCTAGGTGAACCAAGAACCTAATGTAAATAACATCAACTTGTCAAAGCAAAACAATGTGACACTGGCACTGAAGCGTTTTATTGCCTAGGCACTAAAATACTTCACTGCCGCTTGTTCGATTGTCCTAAAAAGTCAAACTTTAACTCAGAGTGCTGGGCTACGTAATGTCAATATTATATGACGTTTGAAGAAAAACGAACTTACCTTGTGAAGTTCTGATCGTAATTTTATGAGACATGTTCAATTGTACATGTTGAAAGCCGCGATTTCAGTTTGATCAAAATATATTAAACAAAGAAGAATCATAATCATAAAAGGAAAACTTAAAAATAATTTGGAATCTAGTATAAAGTAGAACACAAAACAAAGACGCAAAGACAGGAATATTAACAAAATGCAATGTACAGCTTACAAGTTTTTATATAATAAGGTAAAAGTACCCTTTACCGACCACTAAGGTATTACCGACCACCTACGACTTGGGCAGTTTAAACTCCAATATATAAACAAACACGCACTTGAAAAATTACTGGCCATTACGGTTGAGCCCGGAAATGCCCGCCAATCAAATTGTACCACCCCCAAGTCCACATACATGCCAGATACTCGTGCAGTTCATGTTTGTCTCATAACGCGAGTGGATTGATAAGCTTTTACTGTCAAAATAAATTATTTTTCAGTGTTCTTGTTACGGTCCATTAAACAACAGTTTGGTAAGTAAGCACGATTTTTATTTTTTAATGCATTATTATACAGTTTTTTATTGTACAATATACTTAGTTTACACTGATTATTTGAATAATTCATAATATATTGCAAAAACAAAAATGGTCGGTGAAAGGTTAATTATAAATGCATACGCCCCAATTGCCGACCGATTGGTCGGTAATGGGAATATGATACCTATTAAAAATTTAAAAAAAAACAGACAAATTAATGTTATAATACTAAATACTTTATGTTATTTCGAAAACTCATTTACTATTCTCTTGCATCAGGTATCACCGACCACAAAATGTTAGTTACTTTTTGTTGAAAATAAACGGAATTATTGCACTTTTCAATACTTTACGGGATTCTGTGTAAATATAATCCAAATAAATATTACATCATTTCATAAAAATCATAATTAATTCCAAAGTTTGATTAATTTAGATTGATTTAAGGCACCTCTGAGATGGTAAAATAGGTGAGAGGTTTGAAGAATATTAATTTGCAATCTTAGTATTCTAATTTCAATTGTGGTCGGTTTAAGGTTCGCAAAAAATATGAGTTTTCCATTTACCGACCAGGCGGTCGCTGATAGGCTTTTACCGACCTTATAGCCTTATTCATTATTATTTATAGTACCTAACTACCTAAGTACTTAATTATATTTCTCCTTTGGAAGTTAAAAATACTTAAGTATATAGAAATTACAATTTTTGCAGAAATGGAAGCCAGAAAAAAAAGCAATACACTGAAGAGCAAGTTAAAAATGCTTTAGAAGCTATTGCGAATGGCCTTAGTTACAGGAAAGCTGTAGAAATATACAAGGTTCCGAAAACCACCTTAATTGATAGGAAGAATCATAAATATCCAGAGGGTGCCGCAAGTGGAGCTCACACAGTTCTTACGCATTCCGAAGAAGAAAAAATTGTCCACTGGGTGCTGTATTTACAAGAAGTGGGTTTCCCTGTGACTCGCAGCCAATTATTAGAAAGTGTTACAAAACTAGTAGTCCAACTTAATAGAGAGACGCCATTTAAGGATGGAATTCCGGGCAGGCATTGGTACGAAAACTTCTTAAAAAGACACCCGGAATTATCGCATCGAATTGCTCAAAATCTAACACAGTCACGCGCTACTATAACAGAACACAGCATTCGTGGATGGTTTAATAAAATTTATGAATATTTGGTGCAGAATAACTTGGATAATATTTTAACAGATCCAAAAAGAATTTTTAATTGCGACGAATCGACTTTTTATTTGTCTCCGAAAGAAAAACAAGTTTTGGTGAAAAAAGGATCAAAAAAAGTATATGTTAGAACTCAAAATGATGATAAGGAGTGTCTCACCGTCCTCATTACTGTTTCTGCTGCAGGTGAATTGGCACCGCCGCTAGTTTTAATTCCATATAAAAGAATGCCACCAACTATAATTAAAAAAATGCCAAATTGTTGGGGAATAGGCCGCTCAGAGAATGGATGGATGACTGGAGAAAATTTCTTCGAATACATAGCAAATGTTTTTTATCCATGGGTGCTAAAAACTAATGTTGCGTTACCGCTTATTCTTTTCTTAGACGGTCATGCTTCTCACCTCAATTTGCATCTATCTGAATTTTGTCGAGAAAAGGGGATTACACTGATTGCTCTATTACCAAACTCCACCCACTTACTCCAACCTTTGGATGTTGCATTTTTCCGCCCTCTCAAGAATTCTTGGAAAAAACGAGTTCAAAAGTGGCGAATTGAACACAACGGCGATAAATTAAGAGGCGAGGATTTTGCTGCAGAATTAAACTTTTGTTTGTCCGAAGTGGTTAATGAAGAAATAGCTACAAACGGATTTAGAGCTTGCGGTCTTTATCCATTCACTCAAGATAACGTGGATTTCACCAAGTGCAGCTAAAACCCCAAACTCCATTTGAATCTGCAAATGCTCCAACAGAATCCATGAGTAGAACTGATAACGACGCCACACTTCATGACACTAAAACGGCCAAACATCTTTTAAATGAAATTGAAAAAAGATTAGATCCACAGACTCTTTTAGCGTTTCAGATAAACCAGCACGATATATGGACTGGTCCTGAAAGGGATGAAAGTTTATTTTATTTCTGGAGACAAATATTTAAGGACAGTCAAAGCTCTGAAGGAAACAACGAACACGATGATACAATTGACGCGAACTTACCAAATTTAGAACTGAGTGTAAGTGAGCTTAGTGTCAATTATATTGATATTGAGGACCGATTTTGGCCAGAAAACCAGAACGTACTAGATTTGGAAGTACAAGCGGATGGAAGCATTTTATTACCAACAATGCCAAATTCACCAAACAAAGATCCAAAGTTACATTCTACTATAATAATTCCTGTAGAAGATAACATTACACTATTAAGTGTCGCCACTTATAAAACTCCAGACCGTACCCCAACCAAATTCACTGCAAATACGAAAGGAACCGAAAATGGCATTAAAGCAGTATCCGATACTGATGATATCGAAAACAACAAAAATACCATAAATTACTCGCCTCAAATAAAAACTCCCGAAGCAATCGAAACTCTATCTGAAGGGGCAAACCAGGATAAAGAAAATACCGAAAAACATGGTACTGACATTGAAAAATTCCCAAATATACCCACACCTTTTAAAGATATTGAAACCCCATTTAAAAAAGCACTCCTATGGCCAGAACGAAAACAAAATGACAAAATAAAAAAAATTACTAAAAAGCTTACACCCACAGTAGCTTCATCCGACGAATACATTGAATACCAGAGGAGATTAGATGAGGAAAAGAAAAAGAAAGAAGATGAAAAGGCTGAAAGGCTTAGAAAACGAAAAGTCCGAAATAACGAAACTGCGGAATCGAGTGGAACAACAAAACAAATAATAAAACATAAAAAAACTGAAATGGAAAAACCTGCAAGAAAAAAGGGAGACTACGTTGTAGTTTCCTACGAGGGAGAACTATTTCCGGGAGTAATAACAGGCTTTGACGAAAACGGAACCTTGGTGAAGACAATGACTAAAAGTCGTTCTCACTGGAAATGGCCCAATAAAGAGGACATCCTCAGTTACGTTAAGGAAGATATTGTGTGCAGTATTGACGAACCAAAACTAATAAACAAACGTGGAGTTTCTGCTGTGGCTAAAGTAGAAGACTTACGTAAGCAAAATGTTTAAAACAATCAATTATTAAGTTTTATTTATTACCTAGATAGATGTCAATAAAAATTGCAGGTAGGGTTATTAAATAAAATAGGCTGTATGACTGAGTAATTCATTCAGTGAATGTTTATTGTATTTGAATGTGTCTATTAAAAACGAGTAAATTAATAAATACTTAATTTTGACATCATTTTCTCTATTTTTTCATAACGGTCGGCAAATAGTTCCTATTTTTTTATGAGTGGTCGGTAACGGGAACATGTCCTAATTTGCTCGGTAAATGGGACATTTGCCAATTTTCAGAACTGGAATAATTATATTTATTTAAAATATATATGTGTGAGTGAAACATATCGGCTTTTGAATTTAAATATTAAGATATATAATTTTACATTCAAAAATAAATCCTTAGAGCCGTATTACAGGTCTGTGAAATATAACGAAAATTATCTTGAAATTTTATGTGATTATTTTCGAGATGAAGTTTCCGCATAATTCTTCATAATGACATCCTGTTTTACACTAAAGAAAATTTTCGTGAGATTTATTTCGATACGCATGCGCAGTTTTGTACAGAATTACAGAATCCTACTCATAATTGGCAACTGTTTCGTCCGTGTCACATAAATAAATATAACCTCTCTGTAAATATCCTCAATTAAATTGTTGTTTATTTTTCTTAGTTTATCAAGACAAATTATGGACAAAGTAACCAAGTTATCAATGCTACTTGTGGTGACCATTGGTTCTCTATTACTGTATAAAGTTAGAAAACGTAATGTTAGGAGAAGAAAAATTTGGGCAAAAAGATGGTTAGGCCAAAAACATAAGGGTACATTGGGTTTACTGAACAACGAATTAAAAATAGAAGATCCTCTTGCGTATAAAAATTTCCTTAGAGTAAATTACACCCAATTTAAAGTATTGTTAAATTTGATTAGAGATGACATCAAGAAAGAAAATACATTCATGCGTGGTAGCATAAGTGCAAAACATAGGCAAGCATATATACCGAAGGATAAGAAGCTTTCATTTTATTTAATTAATAATCCTCAAATGAGACATATGCAACAAACTAGTATTCTATAGGTAAACGTTTAATTTGCAGACTAGACGTAACACTGCGCTTTTTGGCAACTGGAGAAACATTCAGATCACTTATGTACAGTACAAGAATACATGAAAGCACAATTTCAAAAATAATTCCTGAAACTTGTGCTGCTATATGTAGACATTTGAAAGCGAAATATTTAAAGGTATTATTGTGGTTGTTTAAAGTTCATAATTTAATGTTAAGTAAAAATTATAGGTGCCCTCCAATCAAGATTGGCGGAGAATTGCTACGGAATAGGAACATAAATGGGATTTTCCTAATTGCTTAGGTGCTATAGATGGTCGGCATATCACTTTTTCAGCACCAATATCGTCAAGCTCATACTACTTCAACTATAAGGGCACAAACAGCATTGTTCTATTGGGCCTAGTAGATGCAAATTATCGTTTTATTTTTGTAAATATTGGTGTCAATGGTAGGATAAGCGATGGAGGTGTGTTTGACGAGTGTGGCTTATATAAAAGGTTAAGAGCAAACACTCTAAACTTACCCACACCTCGGGTTTTACCAGGAAGATCAACAGCAATGCCATATGCGTTTATAGGTGATGATGCTTTTCCACTTTTAGACAACCTTATGAAGCCATTTCCTCAGCGAGACTTAACATATGAAAGAAGTATATATAATTATAGACTATCACGAGCTAGACGGATGGTAGAAAGCACTTTTGGCATTTTAGCAAATAGGTGGCGTGTTCTTTTAAATCCGATACATCTAAGTCCAGAAAAAGTGGAACTTATCACGTTCACATGTGTGCTTTTACATAACTTTTTGGCTTGTGAAAGCTCACAGTATATAGAAAACTCAGAAAATTATGCAAGACAAAGTAGTTGTCTACAAATTGGGCAGCAATCAGGAAATAAGTCAAAAAGATCTGCAAGATTAATTAGAGATGAATACAAAGACTACTTCAATTCATCAGCTGGTGCGGTGCCCTGGCAAGATTCGGCTGTAACAAAAGGAAATTGCTAAATGTTGATAATGTTAAGTATATCTACAAAAAATAAAAATGTAATAATTTATTTATTCTATTTCACTCCATACATTCATTTATCCCTTCATATAATATAGATATTATTTTTGATTCGACTTTGTTGCGAACACCAATTTTGTTTATTTGATTCAATTTCATGCTGACAAATTCACCAAATACTTCGTTTTGATTCTTCATTTCTTTTTTCGTTTGACCACTGACAAGAGCATGTGTAACACTGTCTAAAGTGGTGGACACTTTTGTCATAATGACATCCTCTTGTTTCTTTTTCTTTTTCGGGCGACCACCTGATGGAGTCGTCACTGGTCCTTCTGGTACAACAATTCCATCAGGCGCAACATACCCGGAGAGGATGACAGTGTGAATTATCATCATCCTGCATCTATAAAAAAAAATAAAATGCGTATGGCATGTAACAAAAGCAAAACTTGTTCATATATAATCATAATGTAGAAATGCATAACATTCTTTACACTTCCTGCCTTTCCTTTACCTAATGAGATTGAAAAAAGGAAAGCCTTTGTATGCCTAATTTAAAATTTACATTAAATATTGTTACCTCAGATTACTGCAACACTTCTTCAATTACATATTCCTGCATTTCGTCATCATCACTCATAACCTGAAAGTAGACATAATAATATTAAAAGCTATATTTACAACCTTAAGGACATAGTATTTACCACATCATCTTGCGATTCGATTTCGTCGAACGAATCAAGCGCTTCCCTTTGAGAACAATTATCAAAAATGAAACGTAGCATCTCATAGTACCATAAAGATGGCTCGATAACCTAAAATTTGTTATTTAACATTAGAACGTCAAACATAAAATTAAAGTACGCACTGCGTCCTGGTCCGCACCGCTTCTCTTCGAATTATTGCACTTCTTAAATTCCTTGTTCGCATTCTGCTTCAATGACTGGAACTTGTTTTGAATTTTTTGGATTGTCACATCGGGTTTTATTTTAATTAATTCGCTTTGTATTGCGTCTAATGCCTTTTTCCGTAAATTACGGTTTTTATAATTTGCCGATTTAATTTTGTACATATTCGGCCACTTCCTGACTCCTGTACTCCTCCAGCAATACGGTCACTTTATTCCTAGTCCACGACATAACTGCAAGAATCCAACATAACGTTATCTACACTAAGTAAATTGAGAATTTGTTATTGAAGTTCAGTGCTATCTTCAAAAACTTTTGTATCTTGTCCACAATTCTTGTTTACCCTTATTTACAAATGTAACACTGAACTAGTTCATAAAGCGAAAGCGCTCATTAATAAACAAAGCATTGGCTCTTACTTGAAAAAAATCTCAAGCACTAAACCTTAAAAACAAACGTACAGGTACAACAGACGAAACACACCGCCGAGCTTTTATAGGTTAGGTAGGATCATAAACCACAGAGTTGTAAATAGAGAGACAGTCTTGTAGCGAAAAATTGACTCCAATTGAACCTTGCGTAGGCCGTTGGTGAGTTTGCGCAGTAATCGACAACAGAACCGGCTTCAAATTAAATGATCCTTAAAGCAGGTTCGGCTTGAGAATAATATGGTTTCTCATTGCAACAAAAATTGAAAAGAAATTCAATGTGTGGTGAATGATGTTAACACTGTGTCTTGAATAAATAAGAAACATTACAATCGTTAAGAACTTTTAATACAGTAGACTACAATACAAAGCTGGTAAGGGGCTTACAACATCAGAATCGAGAAAAGATTTTTTGAGATTCTGGTATAAAGGAAATCGTATATTTGTCGTGCGATCGAGTTTAAAGATCTATTTATGCACTCAGTGAGTATAAAAATAAGCAATGAAAGAATAAAATAAGTTGAAATTTTATTTTGGTGCGGGACAAAATTTCAGGTGTGCAATGCCGAAAACACAGTTTGAATACGGGTAGCCACAAAGTCGACAAACTGCAAATGCCAATAACTCAAATATCTCAAAAATGGAGCATCGGCAGAGGGTATGTACAGTGGCACCACGCTCAGAAGGTCCCTGACAGGGCGTGTCCGAGGACGTTGGAAATTTAGACTGTACATTCTCATGCAAAATTTGACTCTACTAAATATAAATAAGTGGGCCATGCGATATGAGTTGCATTACTTCAAGGGGAAACAGTAAAATTAATAATTTTATTTCTACAAAACGTATAAACACATTTAAGATTGTTAGATGTTCATGTTCAACACAATTTACAATTCTGATGCACTTCTGCTGTGTAAATATGGACAGTTATTGAAACAATCACATTGAAATTAATAACACTCACATTGACTAAATTAACACACAACCTTTAACTTTTTTCATTCATTATCGTCATATTATTATATATTATCATCGGAACTGCCGGTGTTCACAATAAATTGTACATTGTCAATAAATTCATCTCTCGTAGGAATGTTATTTGCTTCTAACCAAGAACGTATCACTTCCTTACGATTATGTTGGTGGCTTATTTATTTGAACACTGACGAGGTGCGTGAGTTTGCTGGTAAATTTGGTATAAGCTGCTTCTCTAACCACTGCATAAAGTTGGTATGATTCATATCATCGTAATAATCCCCCGATTTACTATGCGACATCCTCTACAAAACCAGAACGACTACCAGCATACTACGATGTACCTCTGACCAGCCCTATTATAAACTTCCGATACTTCATCTGATTGTTAGCATTTACTCACTCCGTACGATGGGTGAATATAGGTTTCGTCCAAGTATATAACGGGTTTCTTGTCACATTCAGGTTGTTCATTTTCTTCTAATCTTCTTAAATAACGAGATGCCATACTACAATGTCACTTCTTTCCATTACCATTGATTATATACACAACAGATACACAGTTCTTATGAAAGATATTGAAACGGTAAAAATAGTTGTTGTAAATGGTGATAGATGTCGCTGTCAGTCAAATTTGAGCATATTTTATCGACGCTCAAAACCAGAATTTGTAAACGTGACGGTTCGCTGTATTTATAAAGTCAAGGACGTTTTCATACCTGTTTACCTAAATACCTACCTCGAATTCTTTCGGGTTGTAATTGTGACGTCATAGAACCTTGGATGGATTGATGGATAAAGAATTTCAATTCCTACGAATGTGTCGTGTCGTGTGCTTAGGTCGTGTGTCACCATTTGCGTTTTTTACCTGTTGTCTATATGTTATATTAGATCGTGCCTTATCATAGTTTATCGTGATTCGTGTTTATTCCTTATTACCTAATTTTCTATTAGGTATTTCATTAATTGTTCACCCTTTATCTTATTCGCATACATCTTTATTGTATATTACCTTTTTCGTTCTATAACCGTGTTTCGTGTTCGTCACTTACCTCGTTGGCAGTTTGTGACTCTTGTTCAAAAAGTAAGTATTTAAACAATTGTAATTACCTTATTATGTAAAAGCATCTTAATGTGTATATAATAAATGTTCCTGTTGAACGTTTAAATATTTTGATTGTTGTGGCGTGTTGATTAAACACCTAAAACTTTACACAGATAAAAACAATTCTAATTGTAATCTCTTCTTTTAGTAGCAAGATATTATGCCGGGAAATATATGCCACTACTACAGATGTGGGAAGAAGAAAGCTACGGATGGGGTAATTTTACATCAATTTCCTGTTCAGGATGTTATTCGACTGCAACGTTGGATTATCAATTCAGGTAACTAATTGCACGTTTATACAATTATGGTATTCTTGTGTAAATCATGTTTTAATCTTGTTATGGAAAGTTAAGGCATAAAAGTGCTGTTTGCCATCCCAAGATGAATCTAAGGTTAGCAATCACATAAATGCATACTCATACATAGTTAATCCGTTCTCTTGTACCTTACTGTGTCGAGGTGTTCGGTTTGACTGAAATTTCCACCTATTCCTATCCATTACCAACCTCTCCATGTTGTTTTGTGGTGGTTTAAGGTTAACTGTTGCAAGTGTTACTTATTTTGGCAAGAAAGTTTAGTGATTATTTTATGCATGCACGGTTTTGGCCAATCACAGTGCTTTATTCAACCTACCCTACATGAAATTACAGCGGTAATTTTTCGATAATACTTCATGTTGATATATATGCAACTGTAACCAAGTAACGGTGACAGATTCTGTCAATGAGTAAATTTGGCAAAAGGAGTTGGGATGACAACATATGTTATGCATAAAATAATCTTAGCGAATCTAATGTACCGTTTCGGTAGGACATAAAACATACGCAAACATTTACAAAAAAATAAAAATTATGTAATCATTGTGAACACATACGTTGGTTTGCTACTATTCAACATTATGAATTATGTATCTGTTATGTTTTTGTTATGCTTATGTCCATTGTGAACAAGCACTAATACGTACATTGATTTCCCGTATGAAAATTCCTTAAACTTGCCGTTTAGATCTAACTCGTGCAAACTTGACAGAAAAACACTCCCGCTTCGCGGTCGTGTTTTTTAAACTGTCAAGTTTTCACTCGTTGCTAAACGACAAGTTATCGGAATTTTTTCTTAACGTGCATACATGAATTAAAAAAAAGTACAAAACTATTAAAATTATATATTATTAGGGCCGGTTTTGTTGTGCTGTATTCGAATCATATTTTCACGTAGTTATTTTAGACAACTTTCTTGTCTTATTTTTATAATTGATATTATTTTAAATTCTTATTTAACATTCCAATTTTAAATGCAGTTTACATCGAAAAAATAGCGTTTTTACTTCGTTTCTTACTTCTACATGTTTAGATTATTCTTTTACTTAAACAATTTTTTACATTTTTTAAATAAGTTTGTTTGCTGCATCAAATATTGCATCTAACTCTACATTTATGTAAAAAGTGCTATTTTGGTTTCATTAAACCTCCTTCAAATACATGATTTATGTAAGAAATATTTTTATCGGTTGCAGTTGTAAAACATCCATACGAGTTCTAAGTGTAGGCTGCATATTATTTTGTTTGCATTATTTATTTTATTACTCCATTACATTCGTAACAGTATTTTTTATTGCAGGAAATGTTAATTTGCTGAATCTAGAGAAGTCTAAGTTGGCAAACCGCTTCATTTGTGGAGAGCATTTCGCCGATAAGGACTTCATGAACGCAAACCATCTGAAACTTTTGAAATCTGCCATCCCTATTCCATATTGTAATGCTACTGCTCCTTCAGTTGAACGTTGTTCAGAACAAATACAGAACGCTGCAAGAATTGATGAAGAAATACCTTTTGAATCAAGGACGATCAATCAGGACCGAAGCACTCTGAAAGTTTATGGTAAACCTTCATTGATTCCTTCGCCAAACAGGCCTGTTTCTCCAAAAACACCAACGAAGGAGTTATTGGATGAGATTTCACAAATGCCCAGCCCCAATTTTCCAAAACGAGAACTATTTTCTTCGCTTACACATCAGAATGAAAAAGTCGTTACGAAGTTGATGTCTACCCAACAAAAGCTAAGAAACCACAAAGTTCGTGTTTCAAGATTGCGCAAAACTATCAAGACTGCAAGGAAAATCAATACAACTGATGAAATTTTCCGGAAACATCAATTTTCATCGCTGCATTCGAAAACCCTTGCCTGTATGCAACTGAGGAAAACTCGTGCTAGTTGGACATTAGCAGAGAAAAATTTTAGTATTATGCTGTTTTATAAATCGCCGGCAGCATATGATTTTTTGAGATCTATCAAAGTTATCCTTCCCAGCCCTTCAACAATTAGGAAGTGGATCGGGACTTCTAAATTTATGCCAGGTATAAGTTTGAAGTTGTTAGAAGATCTAAAAAAGAAGTTTGTAAATGCACCTTATCTGGAAAAATGTTGTTCTGTCGTTTTTGATGAAATGGCTATCAAAAACAAACTGGAATATTCAGAGGATCTTGATGTCATTGAAGGTTTCGAAGATCTTGGTTCAATGGGACGAAAATCGGTGCAAGCAAATTATGCCTTGATATTTATGGTTCGTGGATTATACTCACCGTGGAAGATTCCTATTGGGTACTTTCTGAGTCGTTCAGGTGTCAAATCGTTTGAGTTGGTGGAATTAATTAAGACAATAATTACAAAATTGTTCAACGCTGGTATGAAACCGAAAATTACAATATGTGACCAAGGAACAAGCAATCAGAGTGCTTACAAGCAATTAGGTGTTACTGCTATGACACCTTATTTTATGATTAACAGTCAACGCGTTTATTGTATTTTTGATACACCACATTTGTTTAAGAACATCCGAAATAATTTACTGACTGGAGACATTTTAATTGACAACAAGAGAATTTCTTATAGCGATGTCCGCAACACATATTCGATAGATAAAGTAGCAAAAAAAGCCGAACATTAACTGGTTTAACAGATGCTCATATATCTCCGAACAATTTTCAACGTATGAGTGTGAAGATGGCAATGAAAATACTAAGCCATACAATGTCAGCTGCAATTTCAACTGCTGTTGCTACAAATCAATTAAAATCGGGAACTGCACTTGATACCGCTGAATTCATAGAGTTTATCAACAATTTATTTGACTGCCTAAATAGTAGAACCAGGTATTCCAGGAATCCGTATTCACATGCAATAGCGAAGGATAACACACCGTATACCATGTTGCAAAGTAGTTTGAACACCATTAGGAAAATGCAGAAAGAAGATCATAAAACTAAAAAGTTAAGCCAACCACCATGCTTTACCGGATTATATTTAACAATTTCAGGAGTTCTACAGCTATTCGATGAGGAGGTGCAAAATAAGACAGTTAAATTTGTATTAACAAATCGGTTAAACCAAGATCCGCTAGAAAATTTATTTAGTATTTATAGGCAAAGGGGTGGTTACAACAGAAATCCGGCCGCAAAATCTTTGCGTATGATCTTCCGAAGTCATGTAATACATTCGTTGATGAAACCTGCTACTGCTTCAAATTGTGAACCTGATTGTGATGTCACGGTAAACCTCCGAGAAACTCAATGTCAACAATCAAACAATGAAAATTGTGATGTAACAGTTCTGAACGATGTGATTATATCTAATTCAAATTTGATTATATGCAATTAGGATGAAGAAGATAAAGATGAGTGTGATAACAGTCAACCGTGTGAAATGTCAAAACCATCATTAGAAAATTGTTCAATCACTTACCTTGCAGGTTATATTGCTAAAAAATGTGTCATTAAATATAAATCATGTCATATATGCACTGATAATTTGGTTAAAAGTAATTCCAAGTTAACTAATAGGAATGAATTGTTTTTATTTTATAAAACTTATCAAAATATAAAAGATGTTGGAGGATTATACTTTCCTAAAAGTGATTTTGTAAATATTCTTAATAGAATCTTAGAAATTTTTGTCTCACGTATTGACAAATTATATTACAAACAAAAAATTAAAAAAACACTTCTTAATTTCATAATTAAAGATGATATAGTGTACAAATGGATTCGCCAAGATAATTGTAGGGAGCATAAATTATATATTATAGATTTATTGTTAAAAGTTAAAATTTACCATTATTGTAAAATTGCGATAAAAAATTGCAGCCAAAATGGTAAAGAAAACCCTAAACTTAAAATTGTGAAACACTTGTAAGTTTATTTTTATATTTATTGTACCTGTTTTTTTGCTGTATTAAATGATTCCAAATATTTTTTTAATCTACTGTAGTGTGTATTTGTATTAAACAATAACGATGTATTCTTTGTGTTGGTTTATGTTCACCATATACCCACGAACGCTACAGAAAAGAAACATCCAAAGCATTGTAATAAATGCTTACGGCTCCAAAAGTAGTAAAAAATTACCGAATATAATCACAAAATTCAGTACTCAAAAAACGTAATAGTGACTGTAAATGTAAATCCATAAAGCGCCATCTACCAAGCATGGGAAAGGCATATCTGCAACAAAGTTGGCAAAAATTTATGGCGACATCTGCAGTGCTTGGGCGCATACGTGTGATAGAGTGCACTGTAACTATTTGTGCCGCGCCATCTAGAAGTCTTGGGCAAAAAGTTAACATTTGGAATGCGACATCTATAGTCCTTGGGCGCAGAGGTGTTAACATTTTTTTCTTAAGGAGTGTGTATCTGTTGTGTGTATAATCAATGCCATTACCAACCTACGTTTGTCCCGACACTTCTTGTATCGAAAACCAAGTTTCAACAATTGCTTGCGAAGAGTTTTCCTTCCACCCATATATTTGATCTTTTCTTGCACTTTTCTAGGAGCAGGGCCGTAGCCAGATGTTAGTACTAGGAAGGGCATTATGCTTTGTTAGAAGGGCTTGTGAAGACACGATCGTATGGTGGGGGGTCTAAAAAGGCTAGCAGTATTTTTGTGAAATAATAGAGTACACACTAATATAATAATGTACGATTTAATTGACAATACAGAACTTCTTGTTTTTACTTACATTAAGTAAAATTAACAGCTAGAGGATGAAGGCGATTTCTGAAAGGTAAAATCAGGTCGTTACTAGGGCCGAAAATAAGCGGTTCCTTAGTACACAAAGCTTTAAATAAGGGCCACCATGGCTGAGTGGACCAAAAACGAACCACAACAATACCCTCTGCCTTGTCATGTTTTATTTTCTGTAAAACTTTTAAGTATCATGGAAAAGGGAGTAAAGGCATAAAACTTCAATTTGGACAAATTTAAAGTGAAGGAATCCACTGCAACAGATTGCGGGTCTTTTTTCCAAGAAACAAACAAGTTGCATTTAGCATTGCATCTAGATGCGAACAAATCAATATCTGGAGAGCCAAAATACCCAATGGTGTGTTGGTAAATTGGATTTGCTAATTAAAATTCTGTATCCACATCTAAAGTCCTAGATTCACGATCGGCTAAACGAAATATAAGCGGCTTGCAATCTGTGGAACTATGATGAGATCAACTTAGCAGACTACCCAGGTAGCAAGAGAGTTCTCACACGGCGAGGAGCAAAGTATTCTGAACGCATAAGAAACGCAACCAAAGCAAATACTTCCATTATGGTCTGTGGAAACGCAGCGGGAGAATTTATTCCCATTTACGTTTGCTACAAACCCGAGAAACTTTGGTCAACATGGTGTGATGGTGGTCCGCCAGGGGCATATTACAACAGAAGCAAATCAGGATGGTTCGACCACCAGGTAGATTGATATTTTGTATATGTCGCAGCCGTTTAATGAAATTGGACATTTCATGAAAAGTCTAGACACTTCATGAAATGCAGCCAGATAGTGAAATAAAATGATATTTCACCAAGTGACTAATTATTTTAGACAGTTCATGAAACGCAACTTCCTTTCTGCCTCATGCTGAAACAAACTCCAACCCAAACAGTATGAGCCATTTCCTTTTATTTTACATCGGCAGTTCTTAGATAGCGGTCGTTGTGCGAACAGTCTTTAAATACTTTTACATCTGACATACCTTGTGAAAATGTCACAGAAGAACGATTCAAATGTTAGTGTGCGCAAGAACTTATTTTATGAAAAGGTGTTAAATTATTACAATGATAAACCAAATAAAAAACCGTTCACAAAAGATATCATTAAGTCAATGATTAACGAAATCCAAATAGCTAAAAGTAAAACGTAAGTACAGTAACATGCTATTACCTACTCTATCTTAATGTTGTTTTTTTATAGCGGACGAAAAGAAAGGAGAGAATACTTTTTATTAAGCACGTACGATGTAATGACTGTGAGAAATAACTCATATCTAATTAAGCAACATGGCGCGGAAGATAAAATAGAATATGTGGTTGCATATGAGGAGCTATATGAAAAACTGGACGATGTTCATACCAACAAAACTGGTCATGGGGGACGAATTAAAATGGAAGCTGCTTTACGTATGAAATACAGTATTCCTCGTCCAGCAATTGAATTATTTATCTCATGCTGTGAACCATGCAATGAAAAAAAGCAAGGAAGGAAAAAAATAGTTGTGCGGCCAATCGTTTCGAAAGACTTTAATGAACGGGGCCAGGTAGACTTAATTGATTTCCAGTCAATGCCTGATAGTAAATTCAAATGGATTATGAACTATCAGGACCATTCCACAAAATTCATCTTTCTGCGAGCATTAGAATCTAAGAGAGCCGAAGAAGTTGCTAAAGAACTCTTAAGTATTTTTCTGTTAATCGGGGCCCCGAAGATCCTTCAGAGCGATAATGGTCGCGAATTTGTTAACCGCATAATCACCGACTTGAAAACAATGTGGCCAGAGTGTCTACTGGTACATGGGCGCCCAAGACATCCACAAAGCCAAGGGAGCATTGAAAGGGCCAATAAAGATGTAGAAGATATGATACGCGCTTGGATGCACGACAATAATTCTAAGAAATGGTCCATTGGTTTACAGTTTGTTCAATGGCAAAAAAATATTTCTTTCCATAGAACCATTGGACGTTCACCATACAAGGCTCTGTTAGGAAGTGACCCAAAACTTGGCCTTACTTCTAGTAACATTCCATTGTCATTGGCAAAGACTATAGAAACCGAAGAAGAATTGCAAGAGATTTTGAATGATCGACCGGCAGAAGCAGAGGAACTACTTAATTGTGAAAATGTTAGTGAAAATGTGGACAATGATGGCGAAAATGAGGAAAATGATATTGAAAATAACGAAAATTACACTGACAATATCGAGACGGATGTTCTTAGTGCGTGCGTAACGGACACCGTTGTTCATCATAATCCGAGTTGTCAAATCGATAGGTGTTGTATTTGTGAAGAAGAACTAAATTCAGAAAATAAAGTGCGGTGTGACAAATGTCAACAGAATGTTCATCCCAATTGCATATCAGCTTCTTGTAGCAAAGAAGACGCTGATACACAATTATGTCAGTTATGTTTTACTTCAAGTAACATTCTTAGAGAAAGACAAGCTACTAGAACTAAAACTGAAGAAGCTGCAAAAAAAATGCTCAACAGTTCCACGAAAAAGTTACCTAAACTAAAGAAAGGCGATTGTGTGTTGTTAAGCACACCCAAGGTAGATCGAGGACCTGGAGATCCGCTAAACTTAATATGCATCATCATGGACCAAAAAAACGGCGTTAATCAATTAGCTTGTCAGCATGGAATGTTAAAGGGTTGGTTTGGACCAGAATGTTTATCACTAGCAGGTGCAGCGTTCCTTTCCATACATGCTATTAACACAACTAGATACTTGTCAATCAGAGAAGCTGTAATGATGACAAGCGGCGGTCAAGGATTTGTTAAATGCATGTGCAAACCAGGAAGAAAACAATGCAACAGCGCAAGGTGTATTTGCATGAAAAATAAATCGATGTGTACTTCTAGGTGCCACCAAAGTTTGCCATGTTCAAACAAATAAAGATTTACATTTTTGATAACTGATGTGTTCTTTCACAATTATTTGTACATTATATGTAATCGACATTTCAGCATGAGGCAGAAAAGAAGTTGCGTTTCATGAAGTGACTAAAATAATTAGTCACTTGGTGAAATATCATTTTATTTCACTATCTGGCTGCATTTCATGAAGTGTCTAGACTTTTCATGAAATGTCCAATTTCATTAAACGGCTGCGACATATACATACTTCAATTAACCGAGGTAATTTGAAGCTTTGGATAATTCTGCGTGTTGGAGAGGTTATATTGTGTGCATGGCGCCATTTAAATTGGCTAAATTTTCCGCGGTATGGGAGTCGTTATAATTGTAACACTCCAGACGGTAACTCTGAAGCTTACCATCGGCAATAAAGTGAGCAGTCACCGCTAAATAATTTTTTTACGGCCTCACATGACTGCAATGCTGACCGAACTTCTTCCCGTTTTGAGTTATACAGTAAAGGAACTAAAACATTAGAAATTGTTTTTCTTGTTGGT